ATGACTCATCTATAAATGGATTGATTATTGGATTAGCCCGCTACTAAGCGGGATGATCCTCCATCCCATGCCGTTCTGACCACCCGGACCCGAACTCCCGTGGTGGAGAAATGGGCACAAATCAACAAAAACTGAAGATATACCAAAGTTTAAAGTAATAAACTGGGCCTGCATCAGCTCTTGCCATCCAATGTTTTTATGTGGTTCTTGAAGAATGAAACTAGAGTGTGAACAGTGAATAATCAGACTGCGGCTCACACTTCCATCCTCAACACTCTTTGGAAATGTTTTTCTTCCCGCGTGACCCGAATAGCCGTGAAAACCGGACGCCTTTTTTGGCATCACTCATGAAACTCGGATGCCGTAGGCATCATATTGTTGTTCTGATGTGGCTGAATAAATCTGTAGAAGTCGCCCACGTCATGCTCCTCATAGGTGAGACCCAAGTGATCTAACCATGCGACTTCTGCGGTTTGCGACTTGCCTAGGCCCGTGCTATCGCGAACCTCCTGCAGTTTCGTCTCATCATTGAGGTCCTGCAAGGTTGTCTGGTTATTCTGGTCGGGGTAAAATGGCCAAAGCAACAACAAAAAACATGTTTCAGTTTGGACTTTACATTTTGCCTGATCTTGTTGGATGTTTTTTGGCCAATTAGTTGCTTCTTCTGCGATTCAATGCGATTCTTGTCAAACCCTGGCCCTGTCCTCCCAAGCCATTTTCCCACATCCCACTTTCCCTTCAAAGTAGAAAACGTGAAACTTTTGCCCTTGCTGACCGGCTTTGTCCACGTTCTCCTTCCAGTCGGCAAACCAACGGCACCCCCAGGGCGCGCGGTAGCGGTTCTCCTTGCATTTGGCGGCCGCTTTCAGGAGTGCTTCTTTCTTCCTCGCGGTCCAGGAAGCATCATTTTTTGCTTGCCGAATAAGGAGAACCTGGCCCATCGCCTCAGCATCGCTTTTCTTGAAGAGCATCTCTTGTTCCGTCAGCTCCTCCTCGACTGTGCTGAGGTAGGTTGCTGGATCCACGTTCCCATAGAGTGCTTGGCAGAAACAACTTCCGCATCCTTCAGGATCTTCAACGTGGTCACCGAGCCCGCTCTGCTTGTCGGTTAAGAAAACACAAGCCAAGCTGCAGAGGCTTGACTGTCCCTGTGCTTCCTTAACCGCATCATCCCACTCCTTAGCGCTCCAGCATGTGATCGACATCTCCCGGAAACTTCAAAACATGTCAAAACTAAAGCAGGGTGATGGCATCCATGGGGTTGTTTTTGTGTATATAAACTTAAAGCTTAAGCTGATTTAAAGTATAATGTAGCCCGGCAGCCATCACAGCTTACAACTTAGACTTACTTTGGCTGTTCTGGGTGGCGGCCACGGCTGAGCAAACAGCAACCGCTCCAGAAAATGGTACTCACTTGTCGCCGCTAGCCTGTGGGACCTTTGAGAGTGTCTACTATAACAATTGACTAAATGTCGCGCTGCTGCTCGCACACTGCTGCTCTCTGACGACCAATGCTAAAACCGAAACATGTTGCTCGTGGCACAACTTCAATGTCGCCATCTGGGCTCACCCAAACGATCCCAAGAGATCCCAAGAGTATAACACTTGCAACAAACATTTTGCATGATTTCACCAGTTTCGAACCTCTCGAATGCGGCTCAAAGCACATAGGGCATGACCTGCATTCAATGTTCAAACTGCCTGGCATTCTTTAAGGGCATCGTACATCACAATTTGGAGGAAATCACGGGAAAAATCAAAGTATGGCCAAGGGATGCCAAGGGTCTTTGCTATACTTGCCGGGGAAGCTAACGATGCAATCCTTGGCTTCTGGGTTCACCTTCCCAGGGAAAGCGATTCGCTTGCCCTGGAGTCTTGCCATGTTGCCTAGGTCTTCCAGAGTCTCGGCCTCATATCCAAGCACGCGAATCGTGACAAACATGAAAAAGGCATCCAAAGCGAGATACCAGGCAAAGCCAATCATAGGAACAAAGAAATGCTCCGCTAGTGGCATATAGACTGAATCCCAAATGCAAACAACTGCAGCACATCGAAGAAAGAAGACCTCTCGATCAACTTGCTCTGCCCAGTTCTTCCGAATCTCTCGAAATTGGAATGCTTCGTCTGCCGCCGCCCATAACGCCCATGCCTGCAACCCCGTGGCAAGGATCAGAAATTGCCAGCTGCCAATCCTAATTGCCCCGATCCACGGAGTCCATCCCGGTTTCAGCACGAAAGGCAACACGCGAAGCCAAAACCAAAACGACCACATCGCAAAAGAAGACATTGCCGCCCACCTCCACCCAAGAAGAAACAGCTTCTCAAACGTCAACAGAAGGAGACCTATGTGGCTGCCCCAACTCAGTTCAATCAGCTCGCGCTGCAGCTCCTCAGTGGGATGCTCCTTGAGGCCTCCCAAGAGGCCCAAGAGGCACTCCTCCCACACCGAGAGTTGCACGAAAACGCCGAGGGACGCCGCGAGGCTTGCATGTTCCATCCTGGAACTCTTTGAACTTCCCAAGCGCAGGATAAAGGATGCCGTGCCAAGGGCACCAAGGAGTGGGAGGATGATGGCCTGGGTCCAAGCAGACCAGACCAAGGCCTCAGGTGTGAGGCCTGGCCCAAAGAGCCACGGCAGCCATTGGTGGAGAATTTCTGGGTGAGCCGGGTCATTGATGAGTTCATTGATGATTTGGAGGTTAAACACCGCCACGAACACAGTGCACCAAGGGAGCAGCTTGAGCTTGCATTTGTGAGCCTCTGTCCAGGTTTGGGGTGTGGCTAAGTTTTGGGCCTCATCATCTGAGGTGGTCGGTAGAAGGCTATACCCATCAACCGCCATGGCTTCGGAAGACTGTGAAACTGTGTCTAGAACTGTGAAACTGTGACCCCTCCTCAACTGCTCGTTTGAACTAAAAATCCTTGGCAAATCCCCCATCATTTTAAACATATCTTATATATATGTGTGTGTGTGCGTTAATATCCGGATTTGTCTCAAACATCGTCAGCCCCTCAAAATCGGACGATATACAAAAGGCCACAGCAGGTCTAGTAAGTATAATCAATGTATAATCACCATTAATCACCAACAACTTTCAAAAAAATATCCAAAAATAGCCCACACATTGATGATTTCATGATTTTTCATGATGGTTTTATCTACTCCTTAAAATCATGGCACTTGTTGTTCGCCCCTCGAAAAATCTTGGTCGCCCATTCGGGCCTGGGACCTTGGGCCGTGAGGAACGTTCCAGCGAGCCGTGCTTTTAAGAGTGGTCTAACTACCAAACAGACCGGGATTTATTGGGATTTCACCAACAAGAATACGGGAAATATCATGGGAATATGGAATATGTGTGTTTTTTTACAGCAAAATGACCCTTCTGAGCATTCAGGCTACTGACATGCCGTTTCAATGGATTCATTCAATGGATAGATGATGATAGATGCGAACGGGGCCATGGAGGACATAAGAAGGCCTCATGTGTACCAAACATTTGGCCACGACTTGAACATTGCATGGACCCGCAATCCTATATACCTACGTAATTATGTCACGAAGTGTGTTTATTATGCATCTATATATATATATATATGTATGTATCAATGAAAAGTTGGAGGATGTTACATATGTTTAATATTGAAAATATACTTTATATCTGTTATAAGTCTAAGTTATAACAGGACAAATAATTAAATATGTTTAAATCTTATACATACCTTATATATATATACATACATACGTAGTATGATGCGATGCGATTAGAACTAAACACAAGATCACACAAGTTCCCTCGGGGTGTGAGCAGAATGGTCCTCATCATTGCAGGTATCCCAGAATTCACTCGATTATGTGGACTCCCGGGCCTCTGAGCCATACTTATGCAGTTTTGGACTGGGTTCTTGCATCCAAGACATTTGGGCTGGGGGTTGGGTATGGCCAGGAGTGAACCTCCAGGTTGGAAACTCTAAAAATAGATTTGAGAATTAGACGACTAAGCTTTACTTACAATATTTAAATTGTCTTCAATTGCACAGCAGGGATGGGAACCGAAAAAAATTAACGACCAGCCAATCTGTGAGCACTGAGGCTCCCTGCCACATCCGGTGCCATGGCATTGCTGCTGTGCCTACCGTCCCTCTGAGCCATTGCTCGCATACTTTGCATTGAAGAAGTCATGCCCCTCAACAGCGGTTGACTTGTCAAATTTGCGGATTACACAATGTTAGCAGATTCCCAATTCAAAGATATAGAATGATATAGAAGGATATGCGATAGATCTGGGGCAATATCGGACATAGTGTACCCTTGATGAAAGCCAGTCAATGTGGTATCTCATTGAGTCAGCGGCGATGCGTATATTGAAAATTCTTAAAATCTCTTGTAGTAGCTGGTCCTTGAGTCCTTGGGTTGTCAAGGATGTCAAGGTCCTACAGTAACACCGTAATTTTGTAGACTTCCACTGGGAACAAGACTTTTAGTTGCCGGGTACTTCTCAACATCTACATTGATGTAGAGCTTCAACGCTCTTCGAAATGCCGCATAAGATGGGCAAACATCTGGCGATCGACATGTTGGCCCAAACACCAAGGGTTGAATCATCTGATACTCCCGCCGTTCTTCCTCGCATCTGGCTGCAGCTCCAATGGGCAAAGGATGGCAGTCGGCCAGTTCTTCCGGGTGCCTTTTTCATTTGCAGCCAGCCTCTTCCCAGGTGACACGCGCCTAGTCTCTAGAGGCATTAATTTTGAATTTCGCTCCACGCAGGTAAAGCGGTTCCAACGAACTTGACAGGTTGGTGAGGACAGCCTGTTCCAAGCATCGACGTCAATCATCCCCAATCCCTGTGATAAATGATACAGTACCTGCTTGAAAACAATCACCCCCAGACAAACATATGGTTCGTGATACTCCCACTTGTTGGTTCCATCATTGTTCTCTTTTCATTTCTGACTGAACTCTGGCACCAACCGGCCGGTTCTGGGACCTAAAAAAACTGCTACGATTTCTGCCACAGCCATAGGGCCCCTTTGATCTGACGGAGCCATCCATGGGGCGGATCAGCAGGGCTCCTGGGGCACATCCCGTTTGGGGATGGTTACCGGTTACCGCCCATCTATGGTCACACTGAGGGATTCATTGTTGACTTTATCACTTAATCAATGCCACCATTGCCCCGAGAAAATAGACAAAATATGGCATAACACCTCATTTTTAGCTGAGCAGATTCTAGAGAGAAGAGATTTTTGGGCAAAACCAATAGCTTCTTTACCCAATCCAAGGTTTTTCTGACAAGCCCAAAGAGATTTCACCAACCGACGCGCGGAAACACATGAGGTCTTCTGGGACGAGGTCGTGCTGTTCCACTTTTTAAACATCTTCACTTTAAACCACCATTTCAACATGATGTTGCATCCCCTCACACTGCCAAATCGGGGGTCCTTGCTCTTGGCCCTTCGTCATGCAATTCCTCACGCACTTCCTGTGGCACTTCCTCTCTTGGCACCTCTCGAGCCGCCGCCACGCCGTCTGCAAGAGCCAAATATGCTGGAGGTGGGCGTTGTTTTCCGGTCCTTGGTGTGTTGGGACAACCCTTGAAGCCAATGACCTGCCAGTGACCTTCATTTGGAAAATCTATCATGTGCAAATCGTGTTTATGAGGAAACCCTGTGTTGCACTGCGCTGAGTGCATGTATTGACCAAGACCTTGTCATCAAACTTAGACATAATTCACCCTTCTTTTAGAGGCTGCCCAGGCATCCACACTTTCCCAGCTCTACTTGAAACATGGTTGACCTCGTAAATGCCACCCAAGAAAGAGGTCATTGCAGTCGGATATACAAAGATTCCTCTACTCGACAAGGTTCCGACTTTTCCTCCGAAAACATGCCATCTTTAGCTCGCCACCATCACTTCAAAATGATCGAAATGATCCCAAAAAAAAGCGTAGGAACTCATCAGCAACGTCACTGATGCACGCGTTCTGTAAAGCAGGCAACGCTACATAATCCTTGTTTTCCTTTGATCAACCTGCCTTTTCCTTAGACGGCCTTATGTTTTCTTATAAATGTGTTCCCATTTTTTCCCATCACTGAAATTGCAATGTCTGCCACGATCTGCAGCTGCAAACATAGAAGGTTCGTTGTTTTTTCTGTCAGAGTCCCGCGGTTTCCTTCTGTCCTTAGATCTGAAAGACTTCCTTAGGTTTTCTTCTGGGGGTTCTTGCCTTTTCCTTACATGTTCTTTCGTTTCCTTAGATTTAGATCTGGGCTGCTGCTTGGATTTGTTGCCTTGTTCTGAGATGTCCTTTCTCTCGGCTTACTTTGAGTTTCTTTTGATTTCTGAGGAGGAAAAGCGAGACAAGCAATGTCAAGGAAAAGGCTAACCCATCAAAGAAAATCTGAGGCCACATGTAAGCCAAAAGAATAGCTCAAACATGCCTGTTCTTGGAAAACTGCCAAGAAATGGCAATATCCAGAGACAACAGCTCCATATTTTTGAAGATGCAAACGTCAGTGCCTCCACAATACTCACCTTGCTGGAACGTTTCGCGGTTGGTTCCCCGTATGTTAACCATCTAGTGGGGTCGCTATATCATTTGCCCAGATTGATGTTGATGAATTCCTTGAATCCATCTTGAATCCATCTCCCCAAAATATAATGTCAACACTCAAGAAACCCTGGGTGGATATGGTGGAGGTCATTCCCATTTTATTGTCGGGATTTTTTTTGGTTAGTACCTCCATTTTAGGGTCCTGAAACTTCCACTGAAACATGTATACAATCCAGTTGTTGGAATAGTTATCAACAAACCGGTTAAGTTATATAGTTTTATTAATATGAATACCCCCAACTGCACCCCCAGGTATATCCCCATCAATCAGCAGAAAATGACCATCAATTACCCATGAAACCCACAACGGCGCCGCGAAATTGCCCAAGCGACAGCCTCCTAGCCACCCGCTGTGCCGGCTGTGGCAGCAGTAGTTCGTGCACCATGCCGTGCAGCTGTCCTGCCGCCTTCGCCGTCGCTTGGCGCACAGCGTTCCTGAACGGGGCGGTTGGGAGATGGTTCCAGTGGCGACAGAGCTGGGATAAGATTCCTGGAAAAATGGTGGGATTTAATGGGAAATGGTGGGGTTTCATGGGATTCTATAAGATTTCATGTGATTTTTATAGTAAAATGATCATGACGGCTTATACTTGGAGGATCACCACACGTTTCTCGTAAGTTAGCAACTGAGGTCAGTTCACCAATTGGATAAGCCTTGGACTCAGGGTATTACGATCACCGGGGTTCTTAAGATCCGGGACTTTCCAGCCCATCTATTGGGATCTGTGCGATGCGCAGTACTTTTGAGATATAGTTCCATCCCCTTACATTGTACATTAAGTTACATTGACATTAAACTTTAAACACCCCAATGTGGGACTCCAAAATGAATGAATCAGTACTAGACGACAAGTCTTGGGATAGTTTCGGGAGAGTTTGGGATAGGGGTTCAACCAGCCCAGGGTCAATGGAATGGCTACAAATCGTGATCTCAGAAAGGCAAATTCTAGCATAAATTATGTATACATGGTATCAACCAAGCAGTTCATGGGGGTAGAATCTTTGAGAATGAGATAAGTTTCCCAAAGGTGAACCCTCGCAAGAATGGTCTACCAACGGCTTATGAACCACCAGCAAACAAGAATGAGACTTATTGCGCATGTATTGGGATAAACTACCACTACCAGATCTACCATTTACCTACCACTGAAATGTACCAATATCAACAAATCATGGATAAAGTTAAGGCTTGCCTCGGGGCTTCTCAAACCCTTGGTATAGCAGTGGTTACAGGTTCACTTGACTGAGACAGCCTCAGGTTTACTAGGGCAACCAATTTGAGTGCCCACGTGTCCACTTGCAAGTAAGTTGTTTCGTTCTTCTATAGAGTCTGATTGGCAGTCTGTCTTTGATAATGAGATCCTCTAAAGTGGACATAAGTAGACCAAGTGCAACGAATTCATGTTTCCCCCCACTTATGATACTTATGGGCGAAGTAACATATTGTCGCCGATGGGGAGAGAGAGCAAAAAAGGTGTGGAGGATGCTTTAAGCTGCACCTCTGCCCACGCATGGGATAATTATAGTCCTCCAGTGGAACTTAGAATGACGTTCAGGTTTCCAAGCAGTGATCATCATACACTTAGAATGTCGTTTCTATCGAGGGTCATGCTAAATGTATGAAACCTGCAAAATATACACATGATGTGATTTTGCCCCAATAATTGTAGTTTTCACTGAGTTCTTATAAATGTTTCATTGGGCTGAGGGAAATGTACGGGAGATAATAGTTATGACCAGTTAGCACAGGACTTTCTTGCAGATTTTCTCATCTGAGTCTGGGGATGTTTCAGCAAACCATTGTGAAAGCAATGACTGGGCCGCGTGGCAATTCCTTCTTCTGTCGGTCTTGTTCTTTCTTCATGTCATCCTTTCCTTGGGGCTCAACAACACGTTGCTAATCTCTACCGTGCCAAGAAACGAAACATGTTCATCCAAAAAGACAACCACGCCGATGTTTGAAAGAAAACCACGTTCTAACACTTCATCGGATTGCTTTTTCAGTATCGGTGTATTCCCAATGATTTTCCCAAAGGGCTTTCCGGGGGTAAGTTTGTACGAAATAAATCGCACAGCAAAAAAAGGTGTCCTTTCTTGGCGGCACTCTTCAACCTGCGAGGGCGAACCCATGCAAACCCACGGTGAAAGAGTTGGGGCCTTAGGTCATGGCAGGAATTTGTTGCCCGGAGTCATCTACAAATAAAATCAAACAGTATATCTATGTACATCTATTCTTATAGTAATAGTCAACAGTAAACAGTGTACGATTTACTGCTTGTATCTGCTTACATTTACACCAGCAATCACCCAAGCGTTTTCTCCATGGATGTGCCGGGCTGGTTACCCCAGCCTCTGGCCGTAAAGCATGGCCGTCTCGACGTCCATGGTTCTTGGCGTGATATTTCGGTATTTGCTGCCTGCCAGTGATCCCTGAGCCCTGCCTTGATACGACCGGGCCATTTCCATGACTTGTTTGCGCATTTTGCGCCCAGCAAATGCGAAAAATGCATCCCTTCCCCCCACAGCAAAAACGCCGGGTCCTGCTTCTTGATGGAACCACAGCACTCCATTGGCTGCTTGGAAGCCTTTCAAGGCATCTTGCACGCCCTCCAGCTTCTCACCTGATAACAATGGCGATTTCACTGGCAATAATGATTTAACCAACAAAATTGCGCAATGACATTTGCACCATTTGGGATTTCAACTCGTAAAAAATGAACATAACTGAGGACCAGCACGATGTGGGTTCAAACACTAAAAACATTTGGCAGCGAATGGTTACCAAATTTCATGCTCCAACGGCAAAACTGGTGTAGATGATGTGCCTATTCCTGGTGATTCATTTTCCATTACCAAGAGGGACCAAAACTGTAAGTACATCTTTTGTACATTGTAGATGATGTTCTTATTCGATCTGGTGGTTGCATTGGGGTTTCTCAAAATAGGTGGATCCCCAAAACCATGGGTTTCAATACTAAAATGATCTTATTTAGATCATTTCGGGATACCTCCATTGTAGGAAACCTCCATAACATGTCTTCCTCATGTTTGACTACCAATGCATTTCAACGATGAAAGGAAGCCGCCGAAGCCACTTGGCTGAGAACGCGAAGAGCCAGACCCAGAAACATTTTTTGCGCTCAAAGACAGCGCCCCCTAGGCCCTGTAGGAAAACCCAGCGCCGCGCCTTGTGCTTTGATCCGCACGATCTCGGAACGCAGCCGCAGCGTCTCATCCAGGCGCTCGCTCTCCTCACTCTCCACTACCTCGGGTGAACCACCAGCCTGGTAGGTAAAGATGGCTGGGTTAACCAACAAAACCGATCAAAATGGGTGGTAAAAGCGAACGCGGACAAAATTGCTTTGAACCAAAGTAATCCAAAATATAATCTAAAATCAAGATAAGCAGATAAGGATATATCTTTAGTTGAGATGAGCGTCTCAAAACTGCTAGGTACCCCAATTTTATGCTTGTCACCAGTCATTGTACAGGAAATATGCCACCACTCAATGGGAATTCCAGGATCCTAAAATGGAGGTACTGCACCATATACTGTAAGGCCATATTTTGGGGGTATATCCCCTTACATAGCTCTTACATAGGCCTTATACATGGTAGGTACCTCAAATTTGGGTTCCTGGAATGGCCACTGACTCAACTTTGCAGGGCCAGAAACGGCAAAGTTGAATCTACGAAGAGGGAGGTGATATGCATAAGATTACATCAGATTGGTGCTTTACCCCCATTGGACATGAGACAATTGGATTTCTCACAAGGGCGCACATCCCAAGCAGGGGTGGAAGAGTAACAAAATGCACTGGTAATTGTCCCAAAGTGAGGAATGCGCCACGGCGCCACGTATTGAAAAACTGACGAAACGATCAGAATAAGGTGTACATCACGAACGTTATGCCAAAGATGGATGACACTTTCATTGAAAGCATTCAGCTTGAGCGGATCAAAACGTCGACACACCACAAAACGTGTTGTCAAACCCTACCCAATCTCGATCCATCCACGCTATCAATTTGTTACAAGTAGATTGTATGCCTACTGTCACTAAGTCATCTACAACTGATTGAATCATATTGAATTCATCATTTCCCTTGGCAAAACCATGGACAAAGCCACCATATGCCACCATGGCTGAGGCAACACCTGGCACCTACAACAACCCGACACATCCGACACCCGGTTCCGCCCAAAGACCATGCCCTTGAAGGACATCCTCACGTGATACACCACACGGCGGCGGCGAACTTGGGTAACAATGCCACGGATCATCACCTCAACACACCAACTTTGCGGGAAGTTTGGAGTTGAACTGAACCCAGAACTGGAGCTTTGGGCCAAGAAAAATTGGGAGTCGAATCTCCAAATCGGAATTTGAACCAGAAATCACATGGCGCAGAATCCCCTCAGATTTGACCTTGACACTTGCCAACGTGGGGCCCCCAAGGCTATATATATATATAAATATAAATATATATATATATATGAGTCCGGACTCCGGATCCCTGGCCCCCCCCCCATGGTATGGTCCCCCAAGCTCACGCTCTCGGGAACACGGGAACACGGGACACGGGACCATACATACATGCATGCATGCATGCATGCATGCATCCATCCATCCATCCATCCATACATACATATCTACCTACCTACATACATACATATAATACATATCTACCTACCTACCTACCTACCTACCTACCTACCTACATACCTACATACCTACATACCTACGTACCTACGTACCTACGTACACACGTACATACATACATACCTACATACCTACGTACCTACGTACACACGTACACACGTACACACGTACATACATACATACATACATACGTACATACATACATACATACCTACATACCTACCTACCTACCCACCTACCTACCTACCTACCTACATACATACATACCAACATACATGCCACACATACATACATACATACATACATACATACATACACATGCATGCATACATGCATACATGCATACATGCATACATGCATACATGCATACATGCATACATGCATACATGCATACATGCATACATGCATACATGCATACATACATACCAACATACCAACATACCAACATACCAACATACAACATACCACCACCACAGGCCACAGGGCGGGGGGGACCAGAAGAACCATACCACCACAGGCCACGGGGGGGGGGGGGGGGACCAGAAGAACCATACACCATCCCAGGCCACAGGGGGGGGGCCATTGGGAGGATTGCTTTTTTTCGTGCGTGGCCGTGGCCGGGCCGTGGCCGTGGCCATGGCCATGGCCGGCCGGGTGGTTGGGATAGCCGGATGGCCGGCTGGCCGTGGCCGGTGGTCGGGTGTGTCGTTGGTGGCTGGGTCGTGGCTGGTGGCCGCGGTGGCCGGGCCGTGGCCGGGTGGCCGTGGCCGGGTGGCCGGGTGGCCGGGTGGCCGCGGCCTTGGCGGCTGTTTGCCATCCGCTTGCATACCAAGCAGCTTGTCTTTTCGTGCATTTCGGGGAATTTACCCATACACATCAGTGCCAATTATACACGCAGGCCAGGAGCAAAGCAGCAAGCCTGCGCAGCAAAAGAAGAGCAAGTAGCGTAGCAGATGCACATGCAACAGATGAGCCAGTAGCGTAGCAGCAAGTCTGCGTGCACATACTTAGTACTGTGATTTATCTATCTAGTTGTCCATTCTTTCTATTGGCTCTATTCGTTCCAATCTATTTATCTTGCGAACTATCTAATCTACTCTACTCTACTTCACTCTAACCTAGTCTAAACTAGTCTAAACCAATCTAATCTACTCTAACCAAATCTAATCTAATGTGCCTACGGCCTATTCCATTTACGCTAGGCCCTAGTCGATCTAATCAGTAAAACCCCGAATCTAACTTATCTAATCTATCTAACCTCTCCATCCTTTCACATCAATCTAGTCTATCCAATCGATCTAACCCATCTACTTTGTCTAATATACCTACTCTACCTCATCCATCTAGCCAATCTACTCTACCCAATCTATCTAATCTATCTAATCTATCTAATCTACCAAACCGATCTACTTTACTTAATTCATCTAATCTATCTAACCTATCTAATCTATCTATAATCAATCCATCCATCCGTCTATCTATCTAGCTATCTATCTATCCATCGATTGATCCATGGATCGATCGATCTGTCCATCTTTCTAGGCTGAACTTTCTAAACCCAACTTGACAATCAATCGATCAATCAGGTCTACCAATCTATCTACCTATCTTGCTTTCCACCTATCTAACTACCAATCCTACCTCATGTAGCTAACCTACCTAATCGATCTAATCTTTCTAAGCCACCTACTCCACCTAATCTATCTAATCTATCCAGCCACTCTATACTCTATATAATTGACCTAATCTATCTAGCGTACCTAATCTAGCTAATCTGGCTAGTCTAGCTGATTTATCGATCTACACATCTTTCTTCTCTATTCTTCAAATGATTCTACTTCTACCTCTTTTTATGCCTATTTCATTCTTATGCATCCAACCGTATTCTATTCTAGTCTGTTCTATACTGCGCTTTTTTTAATCTACTCTATATCCATCAAACCCGCCTAGTCTATCTAATCTACCTCATCTAACCTATCTACTCTATCAAATCGATCTCATCTATCTACTCGATCAAATCTATCTATTCCATCCAGTCTATCTAGTCTACATAATCTTTCTAATCTTTTCAATCTATCTAATCTATCTAATCTATCTAATCTATCTAATCTATCGAATCTATCTAATCTATCGTATCTATCATACCTATCCATTTATCTACTTATTTTATCTCCGTCAGATTCTTACGTGGTATGTTGCAACTTTCTGCGCACTGCCATGCGATCAGCACATATACACAATCGCGTAGTTGAGTCAACTCGCCTCCATAGCAAGAGCTGCTTCAACTGCACCAAGCAAAAGGCATGATGTGTTCCGTGCATGGCTCCCGACCCTGCAGACTACCCTGTGGTTTCAAGGACATAATTGAGGATCAAGGGGTTGCCCTTTCCCTGACTCAAAATTGGTGTTTTGTGGTTTTCATATTTCAAGATCAAGTCTTGTGTCTTCATGTTTGAACTCACCAAACTACTAGCTGTGAACTTTCAAAATTAGCCCGCACGAGCCGTATCCAGCAGGTTCTCCAACAATTCTGCGGGAGTTTGCCCCCCGCCGCAGCCAAACGCAATTGAAATATTATCGGTACACCGTCGCAAAGGTCTTTTTAAAAAGACAAGTGGCGCAGCAGCAAGTCAGTGTGCTCATGCATAAGAAGAGCAAGTAGCGTAGAAGGCACGTCTGCCTGCCATGCGTAAGACGAGCAAGTAGCGTAGCAGCAAATCAGTGTGAACATGCATAAGCATAAGAAAAGCAAGTGGCGCAGCAGCAAGCCACTGCCCCCGTGCAAGAGGTGAGCCAGTAACATTGCAGCAAGTCTGTCTGCACGTGCATAAGAACAGCGAGTAGTGTAGCAAATGCACATGGATAAGAAAAGCAAGAAGCGCAGCCGTAGCAGCAAGTCTGTGCGCAGTTGAGAAGAGCAAGTAGGGTAGCAGGAAGTCTGCGATCTATCTATCTATCTATCTATCTATTTATCTATTTATCCATCCATCTATCTATCTATCTATACATCCATCCATCCATCCATCTATCTATCTAGCTATCCATCTACTATCTAATAGTCCCCTTCCTTCTATTCGTTTTTTCTTTACAATATATCTGAATACCTATCTACCTAGCGGCAAGTCAGCGCGCACGTGCAAATTTTGAGCCAGTAACATTGCAGCAAGTCTGTCTGCACGTGCATAAGAAGAGCGAGTAGCGTAGCAGATGCACATGCATAAGATGAGCAAAAAGCGTAGCAGCAAGTCTGTATGCACTTGGGAAGAGTAAGTAGCGTTGCGCGAAGTCTGTGATTTATCTATCTACTTGTTCCATTTCATTTCTTCTCTTATTTTTATTCTTTCCAATATATTTCAGTATCTATCTACCCATCGATCCATGCAACTAATCTTCCTATTTGTCCAAGTGTCCGATTCTTTCTATTCCGTGAATTCTTTCTGATCTATGTGTCTGTCGACCGATGGATCTCTCCATCCATCCACCTATCCATCTAGCTTACCTGTGTTATCAAATCATCTACTTATTTTTTTCTTATCTACCTGATCTGGCTGATCTATCTTTTCTATCTTATCTATCCTTTCTTTCAAAACTATCGCATCTTTCTAAGCTTCCTAGTCTAGCTAATCTATCTAACTTACCTAATCTAGCTACTCTGGCTAATGTAGCTTCTCTAGCCAATCTAGCTAATCTGCCTATCCCGATCTTTCTTTCTAGCCTATTCTGGCCTATTCTAGTCTAGTCTGCTGTATCTCTGTTCTGTTCTGTTCTATTCTACTCTTTTCTTTTCTATTTCCCTTTCTATTTCTATTTTTTCGGGGTCTATTTCTATTCTTTTCCTCGGCCTTTTCCTATTCTCTCTCTTCCTATTTCTATGCTACCCTTTTTTCTATTCTATTTATGTCTATTTTTGTTCTACCCATCGAATCTTTCTAATCTACCTGTTCTAATCTATCGGATCTATCTAGTCTAAACAATCTATCTAATCTATCGGGTCTAAGCTTTCTGATAAATCCAATCGGTCTATGCGATCTAATCTTTCAAACCTACCTAGTCTATCTAACCTATCTATACATAATGGGTCTAATCTATAACTGATCGATGAAATCTACCTATTCCATCCCATCTATCTAACCTACCTGCTCTTTCAAATCTTTCTATCTAACTTGCCTCTACTTTCCAATCTATCTATCCAGCCTTTCAAGCTTACCTAATCTATCTAATCGTTCTATATCTCGCTTCTTTCTATCTCTCTGTTTTCTTTTTTCTATCCAGCTCTCTCTCTCTCTCTCTTTCTCTCTCTCTCTACCTATCTATCTATCTACCTATCTATCTTACCTTATCGCATCTTAAATTTTATGTCTATCTTACTCTTTCATCTGTCTCACTCTATCTATATAATCTATCTTTATCTATATCTATCTATATCTAAATCTTCATGTATATTTGCATCGATATTTGCAAAAATACCTATCCATCCATCTAAATCTATCTATATCTATCTAGGTCTGTCTACATCTGTCTGTATCTATATCTGTATCTATCTATTTCTTTCCATACCGATCTCTATCTATCCTCTATATCTATCTGTATCTATCCATATCCGTCTATATTTATCTATATCTATTTATATCTGTCGATACCTATCTGTATCTATGTTTATCTATCTTTGCCTGTCTGTATCTATCTATATGTATCTGGACCTATCGATATCTATCTATATCTGTCGATATCTATCTATATCTGTCGATATCTATCTATGTCTATCTTGATCTATCTATGTCTTTCTAGATCTATCTATATCCATCTGTATCTGTCTATTTCCAGCGATATTTCCCGATATCTAAATCTATATCCGCCGGTATCTATCGATATCTACCGATATCTATCCATATCTATATTTCTATCTGTATCTCTACCCCTATCTGTATCTCTACCTCTATCTTTATCTCTATTATATCTGTATCTAGATCTATACCTTTATCTATCTATCTACCCATCGATCTCTCTATCTACCCATCGATCTATCGATCTATCTATCTATCTATCTATCTATTTTTTCTATCTCTTCTATCTTATCTATCTTATCTATCTATATATCTATCTTTCTACCTATCTATCTATCTTATCTTATCTTATCTTATCCTATCTATCTATCTATCTATCTACCTATCTATCTATCTATCTATCTAATCTATCTATCTATCTATCTATCTTTCTTATCGATCTATCTCTCTATCTCTATCTCTCTATCTATCTAGCTATCTAGCTATCTAGCTATCTATCTATCTATCTGTCTATCTATCTATCTATCCGGTGGCCGGTGGCCGGGTGGCCGGGTGGCCGGGTGGCCGGGTGGCCGGGTGGCCGGGTGGCCGTATGGCCGGCTGGCCGGCTGGCCGGGTGGCCGGCTGGCCGGGGGCCGGGTGGCCGGGTGGCCGGGTGGCCGGGTGGCCGGGTGACCGGGTGGCCGGGTGGCCGTGGCCGGGCCGTGGCCGGGATGGCCGGCAACTAAAAAAGGCTATTGTGGCATGGGGGGGGGGGCTTGGGAGTCCTGGGTCATATATATATATATATATATGACTATATGCGTATCTATGGCTACTGTAGATGAAAATATAAACCAACTTACAACTAGGAGAAGCCACTATGTGAATGATTCTGAATTATGAATGATTCTTGTTTTGGTGGGTTTTCCCTTTTTCACTGCAATTTTGTGGTGAAGTCTTTCAAGTCGTTGTATAGCCCAAACAATCACATGGATGGCTATGGCACCTGCGTCAAACTTGGCCCCCCCTGGCGATGGAATCCCAAAATAGGCCAAAGTATGTGAGTCAGTGAGTCTTCCCCATGAATTACCATGGGATATGAACGGGTCATCATGATTTTGCATAACTTTGCAGAGTTTATCAAATTGTCCATGGATTATAAAACCCATTGAAAATTGCACAAGGCTCCCACTTAATACTTGATACCGTAAATAATCAATAATATTATATAATACTGTATATAATTTGATGGCAGCTTTTAATGCTCATCAACCCCATGAATGTCCATGATTCAATCAATCCCATGAGTCAATCAATCCCATGATGCACATTCCCAGATAAGTTTATATTCCATTCATATACCACCGGTCCCACTAATGTCAGCCCAGCCTGACCGATTGCGTACGCATGATTTTGAAACAAACTCATAGCCCTTGAATAGAACTACCGTATCATTTCCGATTCACCTGAAGAACAATAATGTCTTTAAAAAAACAATATGGATCGCGCAGTATCTAGAAACCAAATGCAAAACCAAATGCAATATAGAGATCAACGTCCTATTAATTTCGAGTATGTTTTTTCCATTTCCATAATTTCCCAGCCCGGGTGACTCTCTTCGATTTCTCCGCCGCCGCGGCATCGCAGATGGGCTGTGCATCCTCCCGACGCTGAAGGTCTCGTCCTTCCAGGTGGGCACGCAGGGCGCGCAAGGTGTTGGAAGATTCCTCGCGGAGCCAGGAATCTCACAGACCCTGCAGTAAAGTAACATATGTACTATGGGAACCTATGGGCCATAGCTATGGAAAATAGGTACCTATGGTCCATTTTCCATCGGGTATGCGAATCAAAGTAACATAGCTATGGACCATAGAAAAAGGATGATTTACATTGATTTCCCTATAAAAGTAGTGATTTTCCATAGCTATGTTAGTTTGCTGGAGGGTAGATTGCCAGAAGTAGCCTCCCGTAAACTCACACAACATAGCTATATGATGCTATATGGATACATATGGATACCATTTATTGTCGACCTACCTATTTAGATGGTGATTTTCCATATGTTAGCTCTCCCAGGGGTAGCCAAGCTAGGATATCAATACACACCAGGTTTTTAAGCGCTTTTTTTTTATACTAGGCGCAGATGACACGGGACTTTGCGGCCAATTTAGCCGATGTTTTTTGGCACATGACATGGGATTTATGTATCGATTTTGCTATGGATTTTTTTTTACACATGACATGGGAGTTATGCGCCGACCTAACGGGCAGGTATTTTTCCATTTTATTGACAGATGACATGGGAATAAGTGATCAAATTTACACATGACATGGGACTTCCAGGAAGACACAGACGTCCAAGATGGGAAATGGCAGGCAAATTCCTTTAAATTCCTCTAAAATCTTGTAAATTCTTTTAAATTCCTTAAAACTACCTAAAAGTCCTTTAAATTCCTTTATATTCCTTAAAACTCTTTAAAATTGCTTTACATTCTTTTAAAATCCTTTAAATCCCTTTAAATTCCTTAAAAGACGAATTTACCACATGACATGGGACTTCCAATCCCTTTAAATTCCTTAAAATTACCTTAAATTCCTTTAAATTCCGTAAAAGACGAATTTACCACATGAAATGGGACTTCCAATTCCTTTAAATTCTTTTAAATTCCTTTAAATTCCTTTAAATTCTTTTATGTTCCTTTAAATTCGTTTAAATTCTGTTAAATTCTTTTAAATTCTTGAAAATTTCCTAAAATTCCTTGAAATTCCTTCAAATTCCTTTAAATGCCTTAAAAGACGAAGTTATTTACCACATGACATGGGACTTCCCGTTCCTTAAAAGTCCTTTAAATTCTGTTCCATTCCTTTAAATTCTTTGAATTTACTTTAAATTCCATTAAATTCCTCTAAATTCCTTGAAAGATACATGACATGGGTCTTCCAATTCCTTTAAATTCTTTAAAATTCCTTTAAAATCTTTTAATTTCCTTTAAATTCATTTAAACTCATTTACATTCCTTTAAATTCGTTTAAATACTTTAAAATTCCCTAAAATTCTTTTAAATTCCTTTAAATCCCTTTAAATTCCTTAAAAGACGAATTTACCACATGACATGGGACTTACAATTCCTTTAAATTCCCTTAAAATACCTTAAATTCTTTTAAATTCCTTAAAGGACGAATTTACCACATGACATGGTACTTCCTATTCCTTTAAATTCTTTCAAATTCCTTAAAATTCCTTTGAATTCATTAAAGTCCCTTTAAATTCCTTAAAAGACGAATTTACAACATTACATGGGACTTCCAATTCCTTAAGTCCTTAAAATTCCCTTAAATTCCTTTAAATTCCTTAAAAGACGAATTTACCACATGACATGGGACTTCCAATTCCTTAATTCCTTAAAATTCCCTTAAATTCCTTTAAATTCCTTAAAAGACGAATTTACCACATGGCATGGGACTTCCAATTCCTTTAAATTCCCTTAAATTCCTTTAAATTCCTTAAAAGACGAATTTACCACATGACACGGGACTTCCAATTCCTTTAAATTCCTTTAAATTCCCTTAAATTCCATTAAAATCATTAATAGACGAATTTATCACATAGCATGGGACTTCCAATTCCTGAAATTCTTTTAAATTCCCTTAAATTCCTTTAAATTCTTTTACATTCCTTTAAATTCTGCAAAATTCTTTGAAATTTCTTTAAATTTACCACATGGCATGGGACTTCCAATTCCTTTAAATTCTTTTAATTCCCTTAAATTCCTTAAAAGACGAATTTACCACATGACATGGGACTTCCAATTCCTTTATATTCCTTTAAATTCCTTTAAATTCTTGAAAATTGCTTTAAATTCTTTGAAATTCCGTAAATTCATTTAAATTCCCTTAAATTCCTTTAAATTCCTTGAAGATGAATTTACCACATGACATGGGACTTCCAATTCCTTTAAATTCCCTTAAAATACCTTAAATTCTTTTAAATTCCTTAAAGGACGAATTTACCACATGACATGGTACTTCCTATTCCTTTAAATTCTTTCAAATTCCTCTAAATTCTTTGAAATTCATTTTAAATTCCTTTAAATTCCCTTAAATTCCTTTAAATTCCTTAAAAGATGTATTTACCACATTACATGGGACTTCCAATTCCTGAAATTCTTTAAATTTAAAATATTTTTAAATTCCTTTAAATTCTTTTACATTCCTTTAAATTCTTTAAAATTCTTTGAAATTTCTTTAAATCCCTTTAAATTCCTTAAAAACAAATTTACCACATGGCATGGGACGTCCAATTCCTTTAAATTCTTTTAAATTCCCTTAAATTCCTTTAAATTCCTCAAAATCCCATTAAATTCCTTAAAAAACAAATTTACCACGTGACATGGGACTTCCAATTCCTTAAAATTCCTTAAAATTCCAGCTGCTCAGCTCCGACCCGCCCGGACGATTTTCCAAATAGTTGCTGAATAGCTTCGAAATAGCTGCTAAATAGCTGCTAAGTAGCTGCAAAATAGCTGCTAAGTAGCTGCTAAATAGCTGCTCAATAGCTGCTAAAAACTGCTAAATAGTTGTTGAATAACTACTAAATAGTTGCTAAATAGCTTCTAAATTGCTGCTAAGTAGCTGCTAAATAGCTGCTCAATAGCTGCTAAATAGTTGCTAAATAGTTGCAAAATAGTTTCCAAATAGTTGCTGAATGATTGATAAATGGCTTCCAAATAGTTGCTGAATAATTGATAAATGGCTTCTAAATAGCTTCGAAATAGCTGCTAATTAGCTGCTAAATAGCTTCGAAATAGCTGCTAAATAGCTGCTAAATAGCTGCTAAGTAGCTGCTGCTCAATAGTTCTAAATAGCTGCTAAATAGTTGTTGAATAACTACTAAATACAGTAGGTGCTAAATAACTGCAACATAGCTGCTAAATAGCTTCGAAATAGCTGCTAAATAGCTGCTAAGTATAGCTGCTAAATAGCTGCTCAATAGCTGCTAAATAGCTGCTGAATAGTTGTTGAATAACTACTAAATAGGTGCTAAATAGCTTCTAAATAGCTTCTAAGTAGCTGCTAAATAGCTGCTCAATAGCTGCAAAATAGCTGCTAAATAGCTGCTGAATACCTGCTAAATAGCTGCTAAATAGTTGCAAAATAGCTTCCAAATAGTTGCTGAATAATTGATCAATGGCTTCTAAATAGCTTCGAAATAGCTGCTAAATAGCTTCAAATAGCTGCTGAATAAATGCTAAAGAGCTGCTAAATAGCTTCTGAATAGCTGCTAAATAGTTGCTAGATAGAACAAGGAGGTGAATGGATTCATGTGACTTTGGAATATTCTAACTGCTGACGTATAATTTTGGATTATTCCAACTGCTAGTAGGTAGTCATACACTAATATACTATCTTTGTTCATGTGGGATGTGAAATGTACAGTGTGTGAGTTAGTTGACATGACATGTTTTGCATCTTTTTGGATGCAGAGGTCCCATGTCATGTGATTTTTTTTCCGAGGCACTTTACAGATGACACGGGACTTATGCATTTTTCTGTTTTTTCACTTTGCAGATGACATGGGAGTTTGCGTTTTTTGGGTATGTCCGACAACTCCCATGTCATCTGCAGGTACTATAATACATATCATTCAGACACGAACAATAACATTCCATATAATCCCCTGTACTATTATCCGCTAAAATATTTACTACCCGACTACCCCACTATTATCCCATTATTCTCCCAAAATTTATCCAGTACTATCCCATCATATCCCATGTTTGTGCCAAAATTCTTGGGTGTACCTCCACCAATGTCCCACTTATGTTTATCCACTAATTAATGTCCCACTATTGTCCCCACTTATGTTTATCCACTAATTAATGTCCCACTATTGTCCGGAATCATGAACCCAATAAAGCTGTGCCATAGCTGTGCCATAATTCCATTATTATCCCATTATAATACCAGGTTAATGAGTAATCCCACTATATTCCCATTATTATCCTTGAATATCCATACCTGATGCAGCACCCCCCGGTGCCCGACACACAAAAACTCAGTGGCTGGGAGCGCCTCACGCAATCGTGCCAACCACTTGCCCACTTTGACGTCGCTCAGGATACGCTTCAGGGCCTGTAAGGATGGTTTTTCTTATTTCAAAACAACAGAAATGGAGGATTTGTCCAATGATTATAGCCATGGTTTAGAGTCCCCCAAAAAAAAGATGCCGAAGAGTGTGCAAGCAGGATGGTAGTTCGATGATGTTCCCCCCATAATTTCGAAGTTTTCAACTTTTCTATAGATGTGTGGATTGCTATTAGAGGCAACACTGATGTTTGGGCGTCTGAAAAGCACTTTTTCCAATATTCTTTGCTGACATCATTTCCATGCAAATGGGTTTTGAAAAGCATACTCGAAAGTAGCGAACCATTCCATGGGGATGACAATCTGGTTGTCAAGTGTGCAAGTGTTTTAGAAATCTCCGTTATTGCGGCCATCCCGTTTGCAAATGGCCCATGGCCTGTCAAACACGTTTGGTTCGGCCATTGTTGCGGGTTGTGGGCGAGTCAGCCGGTCAAACCATTCAACTGGACATAACTGACCGTTTTCAATGCTCCTGGATGGCGCGTCAACAAAAAACCATCGAGTCTGCTCATCAAAGTCGTACTGAACAGAACTTCAGGTAGACTTGCGATACTTTGAGGATGACCTGGAAGAAAAAAGGGCCGACATCCCCAACGGCCAATGATGGGCCTTTCAAATGGGACCCCTTGGAACATTGGATCTATAGGATCCGTATGGACTGCTTGTGGGACGGGATGTCTTAAGGTTCCCATTAATTTCCAAGAAAATACTCCGACCTGCTGTGCAGTTCCAGGTGGTCAGTGGATGTAACAGTTGCAGGGGTTGTCTTCCAATTTATGAGTGTTGGAACCATGGTCAGAACCCACAAGGTGGTGCCCCTCCTACTTATAGGCTGGTTTATAACGCACAGTAACTGGTTTTTATGTACTAAGCATATAATTGTACATCTACAATAAACACCAGCTATTGGAGTTAGGTTGGCCAACTTTGCGAAGTATGGGGTACCACCTTGCATGTATAACCTCAACACACCAACTGCCACCCCGATCCGGCGGCACCTTGGCTCTTTCGTCCTGCTCTGCAGTGACGTCATCCTCCAGCAAGGTCATGAGCCGATCGTGAGCATCGGTGAGGGCCACGAAGCTTTCGTGGGAGCCTCGCCGCATGGGAAAAATCGCCCCTTGAAAAGCCAAATTCTCTGCACACCTACGCATGCATTTGGGCGTGTGCATACTGCGTGCTGATATTCAATACATGATAAACATTTTTGCATATGTGCTTGTGTGCGCGTGACTTTTTAGTGGCCTCTCGGGCAAGCAACCATCGCAAAAAATCCAAGGATACCCACTGTGAATTGACCATGGTGACAGTAGCACATTATTATGGGGAACAACTACTGGTGTCAAAGGATGTACGGACCATCCACAATTGCCAGGACAACCCCTTAATTCCTTAAGAGTAGAGCCATAGCCTCTGGTAATCAAACATGAAAATGGGAAACCTGCTATTCAATGGGCAAGTAGATCAATGGCAAAATCATCTATACATGGTGGATTGTCCATTGCCATGTTTGAGTACCAGATGATAATTCTTTATGATAATCTCATTTTTGTGTTGGAGGCGGCCATGGAAGGAAGCGGTCAAGAATCCAATCAAGAATCCAACAGTCAACAAGCCCAAGTACCAGTCAGAACACTTGGTGGATATCAGCTCTGGACAAAAGTGAGGCAAGTCCAGATGTTTGCGGGAAGAAAAAAACATGGCCCCCGTGGCCCAAAATGCATCAAAATGCCAAGGTTGTTAAAGGAATATCGTAGAAAGTTGCATTCCATCAAACCATTTGTCCAGCTTTTGGCCTGCACATTTTGTCATCATCAACATTAGGCATTTTCCGGGAGGATCCGTGCTGGCCTTTGTGGCCACAAGAAAGTGTCCGACACGTAACAAATGTCTTAGCATGGCTAATGCCCAACCTTCCAAACTACTAAAGACAGCTACTGCAATTTCTATTTTGGCACTTTAAGTGCAATGCCAACCATACAACACAAAGCCCAGTACCCAAAAAGTCACCAATCAGTTGGTGGCTCCCCACGTTCCCCTGGATATAGCCATTAATGAGGGCCCTAGCAGCATGTTTTTCGATCGAAAAAATCTCTGATCAATGGATGCGGCACATTTTGCACATCAAAATAGTGGGTTTCAATTTATGCTCACCCCAAAAAATTTCTGATGGCAAACGTAGGGAATGAATGACATTGAATGACCCAATTGGATCCAATTGGCCCAATCCATAACTATCATAATCCCATTCCCCGCCATCCAATCCCTACGTTTAGCACGCCAGGCACCTCCTTCCTTGTCGGGATGACACTCCGCTGCCCGGCGCCGGTAAGCCTTGGAAAGTCGGCTTTGTCGGACCCAGCGACTTGGCAGTTGCGAAGTTCACCATGCTATGCCTACCCTCCTGGGAAACTAACCAGGCTATAAAAAATGGCACGTTTGTAGTGGATTCACCTGTTTAAACTGGTGATTTTCCATGGCTATGTTAGTTTGCTGGAGGGTATATCATAGAAACAGTTGTGGGCATGCAAAGAAACAAACAGTTGTAGGAAAGTGGGGTGGTTTCAAACCATCGCAAGAATATTGGTCAATTGGACGGTTATATACTTGTTTCAAGAGGCTGGAAAATCAAACAATAACTGGTTGGTGGTTTCAACCCCTCTGAAAAATATTAGTCAGTTGGCATGATTCTTCCCAATATATGGAAAAATGAAAAATGTTCCAAACCACCAACTGGAAATATATGTGACACAGCCAACCCGCAAAAATATGGAACAGAATGCTATGGAACAGCCAGTCGGAGTAGGTTATCAGGTTATCAGAAAAGGCCACGCTGGTCTGTCCTCCAGTGTTTTCCCAATTTTCCCCATCGGTGTTATCAACCACAATGTATACTACTCTAAATCTTGGCTAAAAAGGTTGTCAGATCACAACGCTTGAGGGAAACATGAAATGAGTCAATCTCAAATTTGAAAAGCATGCTGACGCAATGTTTGGGCTGATTTACCATACAAAACACCAAACCCATTAGAGTTAAGGCCGTTTGGGTCATGATGATGCGCATAAATTGCACAAACGCATTAATTATCATTAATTAATAAAGGTTCGCAATGTCTCCAGAACATTGGGTTTCACAAGCTGAGTGCATCAAGCCTGACTTCTGGTAGGCCCTGACCCCCCCATAATGTCATAAGATTAATCATCCACTAGGGATGCACCAAGAAGCGTAGCAGAACCTTCTCCCCAGGTACCTACCTTTTGGGGAGGGGTTGATTAGTCCTAAGTTGACAATAAAAATGAATCTTCCACTATGGTATGAATATAATATGGGTAAAACATGATAAAACAATAACAAACCATTCCCCAAATCACCTTTTTTTATAGTGTAAAAACTGTTCCCACATGGGTGGTTTATGGCATTGTTTCACCAATCACCAGTGGCCACAACGGCCATCAAATTATCCCAAGTTGCTCTTGCGATCTCCTTTCGGCCGCTTTCCGGTGGCAGCCTCAAGGATGGATGTCCAGTCAATCATGAAACAACGAGAAACAAAAACCTAAGCAAAGGACATAAACATATCATTAAAAAAAATAATGAATAATGAATGATATTATATTGCTCTATATGATTCTATATATATATATATATACATATTACTAGATGTAGACATCAGTTTGAAGTCACATCTTCTGTAATTCAGTTTGTATCCCCAGTTGATTGTTTCTAAGTTCCATATTTGTTCTCTCGAATGTAGTTTTCAGACTCTAAAAAAGTCATGTTTCCTCTCTTTTCATATTTTTCATCGGGAATTTAGATATCCATAGCTCCTGGCCCTACATTCACCGGTTACGCCATCGCCAGGCAACCCCAGGATCTCCCAGTCCGACCGCGCCAGGCTCTGGCGGAGGCGCTTCAGACTCAGCGTCTCGAGGACTTGGACGCGCTGCCCACAGTGAGGGCATGAGATCACCGGGAGACCTTTACGGCGCCAACGTGGGCGATTCGGAAAGGAGAAATCTTTCTGGAAAATCATGGCTATATGTTGGAAAAGATACAGGTGTCCCCTGCTTTCCTGGCTACTACTTGGGAATATTTGGGAACTAAAACTATGCCATTGTTTGACGATAATTTTGGACAATTTCATGGAAGGCACATTGTTCTTACGTTTGAACAAGTTAGGGGGTGGTTCGAACATATACCAAAACTATCCAACTATCTCAAGCTTGGACAATCATCATGCTGATCCAGCTAAAGGCTGCAAAAATCGCATATACATGCATATACTACTTCCGGCAATCAACATATAGCTGATTTACCTCTCAATAGTGGTGATTTTCCATAGCAAACGGGCAAAACACTTCAAAATGGCCAAAAGCTACAGTATCCCGTATTCGTTGGTTACATCCCCATGATATACCCGTGATATCCTCATCAAAACGAGGTGCTCGACTCGCCCGGCCCTTCATCTAACACAGTCCCTTCATCCAGAACGTAGCAGTCCCGCAGGCACTCCTGACATGGTGTTGCAGCCAGCGCAGTTATTGCAATTATCATCGTTCTTGATCTGTGCATAGCTGAAAATGCTATATACCCCCGAAACGGCATTATTTTAGGGCTAATAAAGGATCACAATGTGAATGTGTCTGACCAATGGCTGTTTTCTCTATGTTCAAACAAATCCATCTTTTTTATCTTCTTTGAGCCCACATAATCCCAGCAACAGAGTCATCCTCCTTTGCACAGCCTATAGTGACTACTATAGTGAAAAGGATGTGTTGACAGTTTGTATGGTATGTATCCCTGGGCAATGAGCCCACTGGTCCATTAAAAAATACAAGTATGGATCATTCAGTAGAAGTCCCAAGGAGATATAAAGGAGGTCAAATGAGCATCAGTTTCCAGCATCGAAAATAAATGCGTTACAAATTTGTGTAAATCTTTAGTAGGTAATTGTGTTGGTCATCCTCGGTTTTCGTTTGAAATCAAGACTATACTGATATTTCAATTTGTAAATCTCATGGTATTCCCATTTAGCCATTTATCTGCGGGTATAAGTATATGGTTCCATACCCCGTTCTCAGACACCCTCCGGGAAATCACCCAGAATTCTAGGTGTTTTTCCCATCGATTAAAAATTACTTCCCGATTAAAAATTACTTCACTTCGAATGATCCCCACCATGGCATTTATACATTTTCTTACTGGCAAATCTTCTGGCATTCTATCTGACATATCTTCTGGCATTCTATCTGGCATTCTATCTGGCATATCTTCTGGCATATGTTCTGGCATATCTTCCGGCATATCTTCTGGCATTCTATCTGGCAAATCTTCTGGCATTCTATCTGGCAAATCTTCTGGCATTCTATCTGGCATATCTTCTGGCATTCTATCTGGCATATCTTCTGACATTCTATTTGGCATTCTATTTGGCATATCGTCTGGCATATGATCTGGCATATCTTCTGGCATTCAATCTGGCATTCTATCTGGCATATCTTCTGGCATTCTATCTGGCATATCTTCTGGCACTCTATCTGACATATCTTCTGGCATTCTATCTGGCATATCTTCTGGCATATATTCTGACATATCTTCTGGCCTTCTATCTGACATATCTTCTGGCATATATTCTGACATATCTTCTGGCATATATTCTGACATATCTTCTGGCATTCTATCTGACATATCTTCTGGCATATATTCTGACATATCTTCTGGCATATCTTCTGGCATATCTTCTGGCATATCTTCTGACATATCTTTCTGGCATATCTTCTGGCATATTTTCTGGCATTCTATCTGGCAAATCTTCTGGCATTCTATCTGGCATACCTTCTGGCATTCTATCTGACATATCTTCTGGCATTCTATCTGGCATATCTTCTGGCATTCTATCTGGCCGTTGAGGTCCGGCAGTGCCCACTGGGATCTGGAGCTCGTGGTTGAGGTCCGGCAGTGCCCACTGCGACCTGGAAGTCGCGGTTGAGGTCCGGCAGTGCCCACTGCGATCTGGAAGTCGCGGTTGAGGTCCGGCAGTGCCCACTGCAACCTGGAAGTCGCGGTTGAGGTCCGGCAGTGCCCACTGGGATCTTGAGCTCGCGGTGGAGGTCCGGCAGTGCCCACTGGGATCTGGAGGTCCGGCTGTGCCCACTGGGATCTGGACTGCGAGGAGGAGGATGCGGAGGCGGAGGAGGAGGAGAACAGCTCTGATAAAATCTAACAACCCTCACCTGGCAGGTGGGGAATAAGATGTTCAATTTCCGCGTTTGATTCCCAGAGGGAAACCCATTGATATTCCTATTATATATTATCCTTATTAAACCCTATAATGTTAGTAAAGCAAGAAACAGCCATCCATGCAAACTGATGTGCGATAGCACCCATAAAAATTGTGAGATTGGAGATAGTGGATCCTATTGCTTTACGAACTTCATATGGTTAATGAATATATATACTTAGAATTCAGCATGACCCCGTTATATAATAAATATGTATCGATAATTATTAATATCATTTAATATCCCATCATTGTTCCCATTCATATCCCCTTCTAAAACCACATACCCTCTGGTAAACTAACATAACTATGGAAAATTACCATCTTTAATGGGTAAATCAATCATAAATGGCCATGTTCAATAGCTATTTTGACATAACCAGAGGGTAAATGGTTAGTAGTACCATAGGCATCCCCAGGATTTCTCAATCCCAGCATCGCTGCAGATGCCCCGACCGGCATCTGCAGGTTGGCACTGATGCGTCGCCAGCCTCAAGGAGGCCTTTCCCCCGCAAACGCTGCAGGACGCCATGGCGGCCATGGGCCAAGCTGTCCTGTTTGGGGATGGCTTGGTGTGAAATGGTCAGGTTTCATCTGGTTACTTTTTTGGTTTCATATATGGTTTCTTCCAAGTCAACCATGATGGTTTAATCAATCCAGCTCACTTTTTGGTTGCAGATCGAAAAAGGTTCAACTTAAATTTGGAATGGGCTATGGCAATGTGACAATTGCGACTATGTGACTATGTGTCACAATGTGTGGTTTCACACTTAATTACACACATGCGTTGAATGGGTTTTCAATGTTTTTCAACCAGATAGGGATAGGTCAGCTTTTTCGGAATGATATTGAAGCTTGGCCTATTGAAGCTTTTTCAGAAGATGAATGAGCGTTTTCAAAGTTCAGCTTCTGAACCTTCGTGGGCTTGTCACTGCTTTCTCTACCTTCGGAAGCATTTCCCAGATGACTCGCGGTGGTTATGGGAGGCTACACTTGTGAACATGATTATGGGCCACAATTTCGGCTTGAAAAAAATAGTCAATCCGTTTGGTCTCAAACAATCCGTTTCGGTGTTGATCCAACCCTTTTTGTGAATCCTGGGGCCCTAGAGCCGACAAATTTCATGGCAGGACTAGGACTGTTCCGAATCAGATTTCCACGAGCCGGCTCAAACGACCAAACTTTGGCCATGATTTCTCAATGTGGGTCACCACTGGACGAAATTGACGAAATGGCAAAAAAGTTCAGCTTTGGCCTGACACAATTGAACACAAGCACCAAATGTAGGTTCCTTGGTCCGCGCCATTTTCTTGATCCGCTTGGAGTTGGGATCCGAAAGAACTTGGATGAGCCAAGGATGAACCCTGGGGCCTGGGGTTATTTCCCGCTCATCCAAGGAGGGCGCATGGGGCCCAGCGGGCCTTCCGCATCGTGACTCGCATTTTCCGCATCGAAAAAGATCGGAGGAGCCTTCACCCTGGCATACTCACCTGTAGCTGGTTTGTGGTTTCACCCCCGGAAAAAAGATCAGTAGAGTATAGTAGAGTACTCAGATCATCATGCCATAAATCGGGAAAAGTATAACGAAACGATTAATACACATCAATATACATCAATACCACCCTGATTTTCCAATGGGAGTGGCTGGACCTTGAATCCAAAAATGAGGGAAACTTTGACTGTTTTATTATCTGTTCCAGGTTCCAGCTGCTTGCAGGTCCTACCTGCATCCCATCGTGACTGGCCTGGAAATCCACTACAAATGGCTATATAAATGGGATATAAATAGGAAAATCATCCCTAGGCGATTTTCCATTGCCATGTTTGATTATCGAAGGGTAGCCAGCTAAGAAGAATCTAAGAAGCCTCACATGAGCGCCTTTGGCATAGGTCAAGATCCGGTCCGCAAGGATAGAAATGGACACTCGCTGAAACAAACCCCTAGTTTGTTTGTTTTTAATTTCAGAGGATGGTACATGATGGTACCACATGGTAAATAGTCATTTATCACACATATTGGGCGGACAAAAAATTACAAACAATTTCATGTTTATCATCCCGGGTTGATTGATTCGAACGGCTCTTCCGACCCACACCGTCGAGGCTCCCTGAGCAACGGCCAACACCGCTGATTTGGCACGGGCGCCAACGGCTGGCTTCATACTGGAGCCGGATTTTCTTTACGGCCATAGATACCCTGCATGGCGATGGCCATGGCCAAAAAAGGAAGCCATTCAGTTACCAAACCCAGGGGTGCCTCGTTACCCGCGGTTTGCTATGTTCAACCGCCAAAAAATCCCCCATCCCCCAGCACCACACGGAAAAAATGATCCCTTCACGACCCCTCCAAAACTACTTCAAAACAGGGATTTTTAAAGACCAGTGAGTGCCATTCCTCTCCATGCTCTTCTTTTCTGACTCAGACTCTGATGATGAAACCTGAAAGGTGTTGATTATACTGGATGCGTAGATGCCACACATCCTATTGTGTGGGAACTATTGTGAACTATTGGATGGCAAATCCAGCGCAATACCGTGCGGAATCTTAATTTCTTATCCCTACCAAAAGGCATGTCGATAAGTGCGGTTACCACCTTATGTCAAAGAGAGCAAACATTGGGCAGCACTAAACCTTAGACAAATCATGTATTGTACTGAAAGTCTGTTGCTACCATCACCTACCTATCCCGGTATGAAGCCAGAAATGCTTGGAAATTCTGCACGAAAGTCTGCAAGTTGCGCAGTGTTGTGCAGCAAGTTGCGCAGAGAATGAAACGTCCCATGTTGCCAAAAGCAAAGATTCATGGCATAGTTCTTTCTGCAGAAGACCAACTTTGCAGCTGTACAAGTTCGATTCTTTTTTTTTCACAATGACGATGAAGCCTTGTGCCTGATCACTTTGAAAAATAAACTCACTATACCGGACTCGTCCAAAAATTGCACCCGAAAGGTATAAATCATCCATCCATTCGGAAATGTGTGGCTTCGATGAGGTGTTGTGGGAAAATCTTTAAGCAAGTGATCAGTTCACACAATAAAAATACATGTTACATTACTGTATATCTATCATTTGTTTGGGAACGGTTGGGAAACTCTGATTGTAGCTCTCCAGTGCTCCCCATTTGATAGCAAAAATAGATACGCATAGCTCCTTAGCTCCCTATACATTCAAAACAATTTGCATATTTGTATATACATATGATAATACATGTCAAAAAAAAACACTCTCACTGGCAAAATATGGGACGATCAAATGAACGTCGTGGAAACCTGTTCGCAGATTCCAGGAAAACCCAGCAAAAAGAAGAATCTCACTGAGACCGTTCCCTCGATATCGTTTTTTTTCCAAATAACCTCCAGGAATTAGGCAATTGAACATCCCCTATAATGAAATCATCTACAAATTGTAGGGTAATCACCACTAATAGGCCTATGGTAATTACTACCACTAATCCAAATACCTTCCAGGAATTAGGCAACTGAACATCCCCTATAATGATCCATTTATATGTATATCCATTTATAGATAATTATAATGAACATAAACGAAGGTTTTAGCGGATTTCCCTTGGCCACGTTTGATTTCCAGAGGCTATTTGATGCGATGAAACCAATACATCACCAGCAAGCAATGAGCAAAGGGGCCCTCAACCAACTCAACCAACCCCATTTATCTGGGCAAAAGCTGATAAATGGATATAAATGGCCTGAATACTGAATAATCACCTTTGGTGTATCCGTGTTGACCATTCATCATGTTGAGTTGGTTTGAAGTAACCTCTGGCAATTTCGTTATTTATTGGAATCCCGGAAAAATGAACTACAGGAGGTGGGTTCTCCATATCGATATTAAGAAACTGGAAAATAAAGGGATCAAAGTTTCATGATGAAAGCCAGCCTTCCCCCACTGAATAAACACTCACCAGAAACCGTGGTTTAGTGTGATCCATCTCTGTTCATTTCGGAGTAGCATCGGATAGTTCATTCTTTGACGGGGTACTACTGGACTGCTCCAGTCGAACATGTATGTGCATATATGCCTAATTATATGTGTATATCTATATATATATATATAGGTAGGTATGTAGGTATGTAGGTATGTAGGCATGTAGGTATGTAGGTATGTAGGTAGGTAGGTATGTAGGTAGGTATGTATGTCTGTGTGTCTGTCTGTCTGTCTGTATGTAGGTATGTAGGTATGTAGGTATGTAGGTAGGTAGGTATGTAGGTAGGTATGTAGGCATGGTATGTATGTATGTATATCTGTGTGTCTGCCTGTCTGTCTGGCTGTCTGTCTGCCTGCCTGTCTGTCTGTCTGTATGTATGTATGTAATTTTTAAAAGAACTAAATAAATAAATATATTTATTTATTTATATGTATGTATGTATGTACGTATGTATGTATGTACGTGTGTACGTGTGTACGTACGTACGTATGTATGTATGTATGCATGTATGTATGTATGTGCATATACTTAGATGTGTATATACAATATACAATATACACATATGTGTATATATATATGTATGTATATGTATATACTACATTTATGTATTTGATTGTATATGTATATGATGTATAACTGATGTGTATATACTACACCTATATATATATACACATTGAAACCATGATTGAAAAGGAAATCCCCCAGGTTCAACAGAAATTCCCATCTTCCATGCTCTTCGGGTCGGGACCGCAGGATTCTCGCTGGATGTTTTGGGGCTTTGAGGTGCCCAAAAATCGTGGCAGCACGACGAATTCGGAATGAGAGTTGGAGGAATTGTTCTGCAAATATGGACCCGGAAAAACAAGTCAATCTAAATGTGTTGGTTGCGCACGTTTCCTGATGTTTCCTGGAAGATATGTCCAAACAAATTCGGCATAAGCGGCAAAAGACCAACAAGAATGGTGATATAGGCTGATATCATGGGATGCAACCAACCATCTCTCTCTATCTCTCTATCTCTCTTTCTCTCGCTCTCTGTGGGCTGGTCTGAAAATGGGGTATACGGTATACCTCCCAGCTATGGCCATTTCCAGTTTAAATTTCGAGGTTCCAACTTTTCAATCAAACCCAGCGGTCAGGAGCAAAACTTTGGGTTCAACCCTGGAGGCTCGTTCATCAACCACCCCACCAAGGCTTCCCTACAGCATATGACAAGGGTTGCTGCACATTTCTGGCGGATTCATTATGATTCATTCCGGAAACTGCGTGTAGAAGCTAAAGCTGCCTTCCTGGGTGCCATGCTTCATCAGAACCTGGAGGGACTTCTCAAAAGGTATCCCCACAACAATGGAGGTTTCGAAATTCGCCTATAACAACAGCACATGAGAATTAATAATACGCCACAGTAATAATTACAGAGTAGGGCTACATCACTAGCCCGTAATAAGGCCTTATTTCTTCGGGGTACCTGTGGAATGTTCCAATCGGCTGTCAGATTGGTGGGGCCGAGTTACAATGTCAGTTTGCTTCACTACCCACAACCGGTGGACTTCCAGTCAACTTATTCATTGGATTGGTTTCAGGGAAATTCTGAAATCTACAGGAAACTATGGATTTCCAATGAAATATCTGGGTTTCCTGTCAATGACGTATACTTGTAGACGTATGATAGAAATTGTTCTTGAACGTTTGCGGATGTGTCAAACCTGGGCACTCCGGTCCATCCCAAATACAGTATATATGTGTTACCCTCTGGTAAACTAACAGCTTGCTATTGAAAATGGCCATGGAAATTGTGGATTTTCCCATTAAACATGCTGATCTTCCAAAGCTATGTTAAATTACAAGGGGGTATGATTTTCGCCATCAAATTATGGGATACCCGCATTTATGGCATTTTTCATGGGCAAAGTGATGGCAGTCGCCATTGGTCTTGGGCTCGGCCTATTGTCAAACACACCCAAATGAAGGTTTGTGAACTCCAGTTTATGGGTCAAAGTGTTCTTCTAGAAATGGAGGGCATCTCTTGTAATTACTGTAGTTCAACAGTTTCCTATGGGCCATGTTCAATAGGTAAGTCATCTACTTTCATCAGCCATGGCAACCATCATTCCAGTGACGTCGCGACGTGATATCATTATCATTGATCCACACATATATACATGTAATAAACAAATAAATATATATATATATATCATTATATAGTTCAATGATAACCAACATTTTTTTCCTGGTTGTATCCCCATTATTGTATGGTTGGCTATTAACTATGAACTGGTCAATTATTGAATGGTTCAGTACTAACTATTAATCATCCGCCAATAATTACTCGTTAATAGTTCACCTTACCATGGTCACTTAATAGCTACTGACTACTCACCCGATAAACTGTTGATGGATCCAACTATCATTGGATGCAACCAGTCGCATGGATGAATCATCCTCCAGTTCTCCCATTTCTCGTCGACGTTTTTTGAGACGTAAAGTGGTGCCTCCCAGTTATATGTTTGCTGGCTGAGACCCCATGATAGCAACCCCAAAGATAGAACAGCAAAATCCATATGGTGGTTTTCTCAAATGGGGGTACCCCTAAAAGATTCCATTGTATTTTTGGATTGTCTATTACAAACCATCCAGCTATTGGGGTGCCTCCATTTATGGAAAACACCATCAATTGGTGGCTATAACTCTGCTGGCTGGTTGCTTCCACCCCTCTGAACAATATTTAGCCATTCGGGAAACAGTTTGTCATATTATATCCCACATATGGTTTCAGATATTAATATAATGTAATGTATATATATATTTGAAACTACCAACCAGTTCGGTATATGTACCGTAAATCCAACCGTGAAATGTGAGTGACATAAACCAATTTCGCCATCATTGGTCAAGAATCAATCCTCATTTGGATTTTCTGGTTGATGGTATACCTACCCCTCTGAAAAATATGATTTCGTCAGTGGGATGATTATTCCCAACTGAATGGAAAGTCATAAAATTCATGTTCCAAACCACCAACCAGTTTTGGTGGAGAAACCTATCGGACCTATGGGGGCACCACCTTGCAAGGATTCCAAGTACAGCCTTACAGCTTTTCTGCCGATAGGTCTTACGTGGTGCGGTGCTGCATCACGGTGCTGCATCCCGGGCAGCTTTGTACAGAAACATGGTGGAGTTCGCGAAGAAACATTATTTGGGCATCAAACCAAGCACTTTACGGTCCAACAAAAAAAGTGCGCGTAGGGATCGATATATCAAGACATGTATCATGGGAATACTTCATCAGATATGTTTTGTTTAACAAAATTGACCCAGAAGTGGGGCGACCGGTATACCCCAATTTGTGGCTATTGAGGAGCTTGGTGACTTCAAATACTTCAATCCCTCAAATTTCAATGACGTGCGACCATCATCCAAAATGCGATGGAAAAAAAGACATAGTTCAATGTTTACCCTCTACTATACTGACATAGGTGTGGAAAAACACAATTTTTAGTGGGTAAATCAACTATACATGGCCATAATCAATATTGTCAATAGCTATGTTAAATTACCATCTGCTATAAACCCAGCGGATGAATGTGGAGAAGTTGTAGCCGCCGAGATGTGCATCCAAGCATGGTGCAGTCTGAGAACAAGCTACGAGCAGGGCCAACCAGATGGCAATTCGGGTGGAGGCGATATTCGATGAAAGCCGACCCCTGGAGTGATGAAATTGGGGAATTTCATGACCACGTTACCATGACCATAATTTCAAGAATCCTAGATCAACGGCAACCAAAAAAAATCGCACACGGCAGTTGAAACACGTATGCTATCTGTCAATTTTTTTTAAAATATGGAAAAATCACTACATTGTCGACCAGGCTGGGCTTGTCATTGCTCAAATCAACCACTTTGAGCGGTGAAATATGGTAAAACGCACACAGAATTCTCTTCCCGTCCTCGACCAAGGGAAAGCCATTGGAGCTGCAGCACCCCTCCTATCTAAGGTCCACTTAACGGACTATCCCCTTGAAAAAATTGCGTCATAATCTTTTAAATGGCCTTATATGATCATCTATCAATATCCATGTTTTGTATGTGTATACATATATAAATATACATATTTGTGCGTGTCACCTGTGTCTGCGTCTATCGATATATATATATATAATATATATATATGTGTGTGTATGTGTGTATGTATACATAAATATATATATGTGTGTGTGTGTTCTAAAGCTTTATATAAATATACCTCTATGCATCAATATGCGGGTGCTTCCTTTAAACAAAAAGTGGTGCCCCTTTGTCACCATTGGTTTCCCCATGAGCAACTTCAAGATTTCACGTTCCACTGCAATCACTTGGAACACCCCACAGCAAAAAAGTATAGATTAGAGTCTACCCTCTGGTAATTCAACATAGCTATTGAAATTAATTATCTTAAGAGGTAAATCATCGAACTAAATGGCCATTTTCCGCAGCTTGTTAAATTGTATACTAGAGAGTCTCTACTAGAGAGTAACTTTTTTCGAAATCTCCCTGAAAAAATCTGACAATAACCTGAACCGATTCCGGGAAAAAGGGGAAGATGTGCCTTTTTCACACCTGCCGCAAATAAGAGTTGACTGAACATGATCTGGGATACCTGAAGCATAATTTAGGGGACAAGTTGGATGTGTAAGTAACTGATGTAATGCCTTAAGAGCAAATACAAAACATGTAAATGCAGATACCCCATCTCTAATTCACTTGTGACCATGCTTATTCACCACTCAACTCAAATGCACATCCAAGAAGGTTGCCATGTTTCCCCCCTAAACAAATACCCCAAACCACTGGTTTCCCCAGGAAAACTGATAAATTGTTGATGATTTTGGGGTCCCCATTTTTAATTTTAGAAAACACCCATTTCTTTGTAGGACTACCCGGCTTTTGGCTTTCCCATGACAGGATGGAGCGGCGTGACTACAACAGCCGAGCAAAATTAGAATATAAGAACGTCGCACCGTACACCGCGCTGCTCCAAAAGTCGCCAATGATGAAACTATCATACACATTCATACACTACATCATGGTAATAGTCCCGGTGGTTCGGGCATTGGTTGGACCTTTATAAATAAGGGAAAACGCAGGACAAGTTTGATCAGCACTCAGATTCGAGGGTGGCTTCCCGGGCGAATGGAAGGCAATGTTCCACAAGGGTTGCACAAAGCAATATACATGTTGCATTTACATTAATTGCATACACACATACGGATCTTTATATATATAATATAATATATATTAATATATCATTTATATATATATATGTACAGATATATTCGCATATATCTCCACATATCCGCATATTGAATACATACATGGGAGGAAACCAACCGAATGATGCTTTGAAATTGGAACAACAGCAACACTTCAACCACAATCCAAAAAAAGTTCGCGCCTGCGGATCCTGCGGGTGCAAGCAATATAACAAAGTGCGAAAGTGCGACATGCCACCAGATTGCGGCGAATGCGTCACACAACCCTTCTCAAAAGTGTCATCAGCTTCTCCTCCCAAGGGTCACGTCCACTTCGACATACTTGCATAGGTTCAATAGCTTTTTTCCATAAAAAGAAGGATTGACGAGGGGGTAAATCTGCATCATGTTTGAAATCCCTCAGAACAATAAGGCCTCAGCGTCCCTTAATCTGTGGCTGAAGCTGTGAAGCTTTTGCATCGAGGCTGCGAGTCACCAATGTTTTGTGCGGCATCTTCGGCACACCCAAACAATTTTGTGGTTTACACGCCAAAGATTCTGTTCAATTCCCGCCTCATTCCCAATTTTACAGACCCTTCAACATCTTCTTTTTGCTGATTCGCTTGATATTGGTGTGATATATCCCTGTTCAGGGTCAGAATTGACGAAAACAATCCATATAAAATCTCTGGTCTACCAGTTGTTGAATTTTGACCCATAGCCTTACAAGTACTACAGGACCCATCCAGTCGATTGACGTCCAGCACTCACCTCGACCCTGTTGAGACTGGCAAAGTTATCAAAAGTTATCCATGTCAAAATTCCAGTAAGAAGGTATGATATAAGTTATCCATATCATCATCAAATAGTTTATCCATTGTTTTTAGGGATCTATTAAATGATCTATGAAAGGGATCGAAGATAAAAGAAATAAGATTCAATGGAGATACCATCTTGTAATTTGACTGCGTTTAACATAGCTATGGTATAGATGGCCCAATTAGTAAATTTAGTCCGAGGAAGTACCTATTATTTCATGGTGGTTTTCCAGTTCGCAAAGTGTTAATAACTGCAAGGAGATATAAATCATGAGATCATTGACCCAGTTCCTCACCTTCTCAGAAGGGCCGGAGCAATCGCCGAGGCTATGCACTCATTTGCCAGCATGGGGTTGTTTTCTTGGATGCAGTAGGAGGCTTTTGAACAGTGCCCATTTCAGTGTTGAAATCATCTGGAATCATCTGAAATCCATCCCGCCTCAGCATCAAACAGCTGGTCCACACTGGACATGCGACCGCATGCGACATCAACATGTGACATTAGAGGCTCACTCGACAGATTCTCCCGTTCCTCAGCCGAGTTGTGGCACTGGACGCGGCAAACCCGTTGAAATGGATGCAGCATGATGCAGCATCTCCATGTGCACATCATCAGGAGGAAAATATTGAGAAACATAACGCCAACCTCTATCTGGGCTGAGACCCCCAAGCTAACGCTGTTGGGGAAAACAGTGGTTTTGTTTCCATGCCCGATCACATTGGCTGGGTTCATAGTGTTCAACACCACTTTGATCATTTAGTATCATTTAGTGAAATTTAGTGTTGCTAGCGAAGCCCCTGTTTAGCAGCGTGTTGTCTTCACATCCTTGGGATTCTTGCATGGATTTATAAAGCGTCGCATTTTGTATAAACAATCTTGGGCCCACATCTTTCCGGCCGCCCATTTTCTCATATGGGTCTGTCTGAAAAGAATGTATATACCCCAAGCTCCTATAGTTTATCTTGATCATTCCCACTAACATTGCCATAGATTCGGGGTAAACCTCCGTGCTTCCAGACCAACTCACATCAGTGCGCACGCATCTGTGAACTCATTTTTCTTGGTTGCATCACATGGGAGATCCATATCAGCGAAATTGCCCCAAGAAACATGTTGATTAAATAGTCAAATCATCTTAAACCATGTCAAATCATGTTAAATCAAATTACATAAATCATATTAAATCATATTAAATCCTCATGTGTCTACATGTTCTGCCCGTGTTTCTCCTATTTTCTCACGAACCAACTCCTGCGATTTCGCGGGTTTCGACCCGACCACTTCGATCCAAGGCTCATGTCCCAACCCTCGAGATCTCGACGTCGCTTCACATCGGAGGCTAGGACCTGCCATCTGTGGCTTCGTGTCCTCTCAAGGGTAAAATCACCGGAAAGTCATCTGTCAGTCTTATATATATGTTACTTGGAAAAACATACCTGATTTTTTGTCTGGTAAATTGAATCACGCCATTGAATGCCAGTAATCTGTAACGTATTTGACCAGCTACTTCGTGTGGGATTCCAACCTTTCATCCGGAACATGTGGGAAGTCAATCGAGGATCTACTTGAATGAGAATCCTCATCTCAATCCACATCTGCTTGGGGTTTTATCTCGGTTTTTCATGGTATGTCATGGTTTCTCCAACCAAAAAAAAAGTGGTTCAATGCAACTTGGACGGGCTATCCATCGAGCTCACCGGGGATGCCCCACCGATGATCAGGAAAGTTCACCGGTGAAACGATGTTTTTTAAAGCGAAAACACCATCAAATATTATTATGAGGGTTTTCCTGCAGGTTTATCCTTCATCCGATGTGTGTTCCATCAAGCAGAAGCGAACACAAACACTTCACGAAAACTGTGACCTCCCAGCGAAAAACATGCGTCCATTCCGACTTAGTGGAAGTCCCGGGACCGCCGAGATACCCATGGGTTTTCATCCACACCCTGCAGCATCATCTTGAGTCTCTTCAAATGTTTTTCCTTGGCAGAAACGGCACCCAACTCTGTTAACAGAGATGGGGCACCCCATATAGACGAATTACATCCAAAACTTCTGCAGTTTTTAAAGCGGCCCGTGCCATGGTGGGCTCTTGGGCTGTGAGTTTTTAACTTCTGATCCAAAAATAAAGCCCAACTTTAAGCGAACCCAACAAGTGGCCCTTCAGAAATTTGTATGCAGGAAAGGCCCCCGGGCCCCCTGAACGATAGGCAAGTTGGTTCATAGGCTAACTAGGTTTTGTGGTGGATATATTGCCATATGCAGACTGACTTGGGCCAAGTTATACCTATTACGAACCAACTTTTCACCAGACAGGGGCACTTCCTGCATCCTCCACAGGGTGGCATTTACCAGGAATTGTCCCGAAGGCTGGAACTTGACTTAGCGCGAGCAAAGAGGAAATATGAATCTCCGAGTGAATAAGTAGCAAACCTGTATCCAGCGCCATTTTGATCCTTGACTGTCCTTGACTTAGTTACCCTGATTAGCCACCAGGTTTACAAGGCAGGCCACCCTGCGTAGCTCAGTTGGTTTATAGCTACAATAATTCTGGTTGATGGGATATAACGAACTAGTTAATAGGGTTTATAAACCAACTTACAACGGGGGGCACCTTCTAGGGCAATAGACGCCATGATTGTTGAAGTTCTATTTTTTTTGGCTTGGCATCGAAATTCTTGGTTCCAGGTAATCCAAGCGAACAGTGCCCAAAATCCAACTGTTACTCCGGTAAGTTAACGTGACTCACTGGCTGACTATAGGAGAACCATCGAATGAATGAAAATGCGTGATTTTCCATTGTCAGGCTAGGCGACTCCTTTTAGTAGTTATGATATTCTCATTTTCATCTTTTGGTTTTTGACCCCTTTCAAAGGGGGTTACATTCCATCTTACATAGACATAGCTTTACTCCCAGCCCTATCTCCATTTGTTGTTTTGTGCCTCCAAGCCGCGTGAAGCCTGCGGGTGGGTTGACCCACACATCCTTTTGGCAAATGCCGCCACCTCCAGGTATCGTAGGAGGAGTCCAAGGCATCCAAATCCTGGGACAATCAGATGAAACAGATGTGGTTCCCACATCCGGGGTGTCCCTTGGGGAAAATCGTCTACTTTCAGGGTGGGATACAGGGAAACCACTGTAAGAACCTACTGCAATAAGAACTTCAGGGGCTGGATTGCTGGATTCAACCCTTTCTGTCAGCTAATTGACATAAGAACCCGAAGGTACCCTGGAATTCTAGCCGCTGGTTCTTATTCCCCTTTAACTCGTATACATATACCAAACATTATCAAATATTGTTTTGTTAACCTGGTTGAACGGATGCCTTTCTTCTTCCCCTTAACATGAGCAGGAACATCCAACATATGTACTCCATAAAATTCAAGGGAAGGTAAAGCTGAAACCAAGTATGTTCCGCATGGGAATCCATGGGGATCAATCTCCCGACCTCCCGCTTGCTAAGCTGATGCTCTACCAGCTGAGCTATTGACTCTCTGGCCTTGGTGTCTGCCAACCTTATAGCTAACGTTTTGATCTATTTTTTCTACGGCTGCGCAGCAACAATTCCCTTTCTGCATGTGTTGGCATGTGTGCTTTTCAGCCCGTGCTGCCTCTGTTTTGGATGGCTGCTCTGTTTTGGATTCGCTGCTTTCAGAGCTGTCTCTGCAGGCTCTATTTCCGCATAATTCAAAATTGGGAAAATACTGAGACTGTGCAAAAGCCTCTCACCATATGAACCCCTTAAGAACTAACCCGTTCAGAACTTAAGGGTGCCCTCGTTCATAATATTTTCCACCTATAGCACTTAAGAACCCCAGGGTAGGCTGGAAAATTCTTAATCGGTTCTTATCTAACGGTTCCGCTGTACCCATTTTAGTAGCATCTTCTATTTTGATGGGTGCTTTTGAGTGAAGCAAGCGGATATCTATGACTATGATGATCGGAATCCGCGGAAAAACATCTCCTGGCTGGGATACTTTCAGTTGAATCCCCCAAGATCTCACTAGGGTGGTTCCCCCCAAAAAAGTCATAAACTCCCCAGAAGCTGGGTTCCTTTGGAGATGCGAGCATCTGGCTCTGACCCGGTACCGATGGAATCTGATGGGATGGTTTGATGTGTTTTTATTAGGAATTCCACGTGTTGGCCATTCTAAAAAGGAGATGTCCTGCATTCTTGTTTGCATCTTGTTCCCCCTAACATACCCCGTTCATTTGTACTCTGCAGTGATCAGTCAGCACCACTCGGATATGGAGAAAGAAAGACCAGGCACCGCCAGGCACCTTTCAACGCAAGAAACATCAAGAACTATCAAGAAACAGAAACCGCAAATTTCTCCAACACTGCTCGACATGTTGATGTGGGATACCTCCTTCCCAAGATCTTATCACAGGAAAATTGCACGGACTCAATTCAACATCAAATTTATTTGCGTTTTGCTTGTTTAAAATCGCATTGTGGCCGATAGGTTTTGGAGAACCACTTGGCACACTTGCACTTGAAATCCCATGATGCTCCATTACCCATCATTGTTGCTGGCTATAAGATTCCCACCAACGTAAAAGACATTTATATATATATGTGATATATTATATCATATTTGTAGATACAAAAATACCGATACATCTGGAGAAATTGCCGCTATCAAGTCAATGGCTGCTGGTGGTTTCAACATATTTCAAGCACTTTGAAAGTACTGAAACAAAACGGTTGGAAGAACAGCAGGCCAGGTAGATTGGAGAAAAGGAACGCATATCTTTTCAACCTCTGAAATCAATAGCAACACTAGGATTGTTGGTTACATCCCCATGTTTGACTATCCCCATCCAATCCCAATAGTATTCCAACAGTTGGTAGACAGGAGCCCTTGGGTTGGGCTCTAATCCGCAATAAACAATCTACCTAGACCCGCCAAGTACCCTTGAAAATTGCGTTTAAACCCGCAAGTTTTGTACCTTTATCATTTTGTTGGGGTAGTTGGAAGGTCTAGGTAGTATCACCCTTAAGCCCGACCTTAAATTTTGAGCCGCAAAGTTTGGGCCCCCTGTGGAAAGCCTCCTATCATCCTTTCCCCATCCAACTCACGGTTGTAATGATTGAACTCCCCCATGAAAAGTTATGATTAATCTAAAGAATCTACATATGAAGAAATGCGAAAAATGTGAATAAATGTCAATAAATGTGGATAATGGTCCATACCCATTAATAGCAGGTAAATTCCGTGGGCCATACCTGGAAAATTGATGACCCTTTCCCACAGTCATATGAAAAACCAATGACTGGAGGGAAATATATTAGGAGGATTTTGGGGGATTGTATTGATCCCATTGGCTGATTGTGTTCAATCCTTCTTTGATACCATTAAAGTCACAAGCAAGTAGTTCCACCATATATTCTTTAGATACATTGATGTTTTCAATTTTTGAATACATCGCATCGAGGTCCCACAAAAAAAAGACCCAAAAAAAGGGTCAACGCGTCATCTGCGCACATTGAAAGCGAGTCATCTGCGCACATTGCAAACGAGTCATCTGCGCACAGAGAAACCGCGTCATCCGCGCACAAAGAGCGGTCATCCGCGCACATTGAAGCTGGGAACCAGCCATTTCGGGTTTGGTTTGGGGGGGGTGGGGTGGGGTGGGGTGGGATGATAACGTTCATGTTCCTATGCACACACGCACAGCAACCTCATCATCTTTCTTGCTGTAGAGCACTTACACGCACTGCTCTTTCATGATCAGTTACCCGTGGGGTGGGGGGGTGGGGTGGGGTGGGGTGGGGTGGATAATAACGTTCATGTTCCTATGCACACACAGGCACAGCAACCTCATCATCTTTCTTCCCTGTAGAGCAGAGACAGGCACAGCTCTTTCATGATCAGTTACCGGTGGGGTGGGGTGAGTTAATAAGGTTCATGTTCCTATGCATACAGACGCACAGCAACCTCATCATCTTTCTTGCTGTAGAGCACTTACACGCACTGCTCTTTCATGATCAGTTACCCGTGGGGTGGGGGGGGTGGGGTGGGGTGGGGTGGGATGATAACGTTCATGTTCCTATGCCCACACAGGCACAGCAACCTCATCATCTTTCTTCCCGTAGAGCAGAGACAGGCACAGCTCTTTCATGATCAGTTACCGGTGGGGTGGGGTGAGTTAATAAGGTTCATGTTCCTATGCCTGCACACGATGAGTGTTCATGTTCCAGCTCTTGAGTGAGTTGAGTTGTGTAAGATGAGTTGTGGGAGATGAGTTGTGTGAGATGAGTTGTGTGACTTGTGAGATGAGACGAGTTGTATGAGTTGTGAGATGAGTGGAGTGGTGTGAGACGAGTTCTGTGACTTGTGAGATGAGACGAGTTGTGTGGGATGAGTTCTGTGAGTTGTGTGAGACAACTTGGGTGAAGTTGAGAGAGAAAGAAGCAACTCAGGAGGAGAAGGAGGAGAAGGCAAGGAATACAAACCTAAAAACAAAACCCCCACACAGAGATGTGAGGAAAAAAACATAACTTGATGAGTTGTGTGATGATGTTTAAAAAAAAGCTAGAAGAAGAATCATGTTACAGAGATACAATGACAAAATCACACAACAAAAACGTGCACAGACGACCAACCGTCTGACGTGCACAAACGACCCACTTTTGACGTGCACAGACGACCCCTGAACCCTTTAAAAGTGTCCATGATGATGCCATGATGTTTTTTTTCCGGATGATGTCTGGCCCCTAGTTTTCAAACTTACAACTGTTCTATTTGTTTGAATGATAAAATTTGGACGGTTTTGTATGCAGATTATACACCCCTGATGACAACCCACAACCAGGAACGGCACCAAGGCTCGTTTTGCTCCAAAGGATCCGGGTGAAAATCCTCCTCTAACTCGGTGCTATGTCCATGCCGGGACAGCTGCGCGGGCGCGGTGGAGCCGGCGCAACCCATGGCGCCGTCTACTTCAGAGATTGGCGAAGCCTTTCGTAAAACGTTTCGTGACACACATGATACACGCATGTTTTGTCACTTGTGGGGAAACGTTCCTGAAGATTCCTGGGGTGCCGGATTTGAACATGTTTTTGAACACATGCTGCTGATATTCTCCTGGTGCCTTTTGAGGGGTCTCAAGGTATTTGCTGAATATGTTGGACAGTCCTCTATTGATGTCGCGCCCTAAACTGCAGCAGTGGGGTTTGTGGAATGCTGGCATGAAAGCACCCTGATTTGGGCGTGTCAATTCCCTTGTCCCCTCATCTATCATCATCAAAAAATCACTACTATAATTATGAATACAGAACATAAGATTATATAAGCCATCCCTGGGTCCAAGCAGCTCCCCAAGAGGAACTCTTCGTCTGGTTCATCATCTTGATGTCCCATTTCCCAGACATGTTGTGCCGGAAGCTAATGGGTTGATCTGCTGCAGTGACACCCGTAGATCCTCAAAGGTAACCAAGCAATGAAATCACATGGGGAAACTTTACGTCGCAATTTATGTGTTGGCCGCTGTTGGACCTCATAAAACTTTATGTGAGATCTCGGCTGCATTGACCTTGTAAATTCATGTAAATTCTTTCGCATATTTAGACCATCATTGATCATTCCGGTTCTTGGGCCATGGGTATCATCAACCCATTTCCTATATTTCCTGGGATGAAAACGAAATAGAAAAATCTCTTATAATCATTGAACTCACCTCATGGCCCGTCAAACTCGTGAAAATGCATCTTTTTTTGGAACCTTACCGGCCCATAAATAAATGGTTGGAACATGAAGCAAGTTAAACATCGTCAAACTGTGCAATTGAATGAAAACCCGCACCATCAAAAACCATCAAACTGCCCACATCCACAGTGCCATTAGCGCTCATCTTTTCGACTGGCACAACCCGTCCGTCCGATCACCTCAGGCAGACCTCTGGGATGTCATGGGATGTCGTGGGATGTCGCTGGATGACCAAGCAAGAATACTGAAACTGAAGCCTATTGTATAGATTTTATTGGTTTATCTTGGTTTATTATATAGTTACTTATCTGCATGTGTACTCATGTGTTCACCATTACGGTCTATTATTGTGGTCTATCCATGGGATAGTCGTGATCAGAATGAGATGAATGGGATAATAACGGCGTTATTTGTTTAAAAAAAACTTGTTGATTGAAAACCGGATGGTTGCCCCAAACAGTGATGTCACCTGCTACTGCCATGGCGCACACACCCCCGATGATCAACAGCCAGGGGTGGATATCCTCCAGTGCGCAAAAAACTTTTTTGGCAGCGAATATGTGGGACGCACATTGAATGCAAAACTGTTGCAAAAATGAATCAAGAGCCTGCCTGGCTTCTATCGATCCTCTATCAATCCTGAAAATGGGCATCGTTTATAGAAGCAATCCAACTTTGATATTAGATATGGAAGGATGGGGTATTGTCAAGTTGAACCGGAAAAAATTGAAAATGGGTAATGTTCACCTATCATCACGATATAATTAGATCCTACTAGGGAAAGAGATTCTCCCTCAACACAGCTTCCCTTGTAACTTCACCTCCAACATCCTCCAACACTAAATCTGCTATACTGGCTACGTAAAGCAAACCACAAAACGTGGCTGACACATGCTGACACAAAAAAAAACGTTGAGTCGTGGCAGTCTCTGTTTTTCTCCCTCCCTCCTCCAGTTTGCAAGTAGATCGCGTGGTGAACCTATGCAGTCGCTGCAGAACTTGTAGTAATCAAGTTCGTTTAGATATTTCGCCACGGTCAACTTGGCGGATTCGTTGCTCTTGTTCCGGGGCAAGTTTGAGGGGATGTGCACATAGGTACTCTCAAACCTCTTTCTCTGCAGTTTCGTCCCCATATACTCGATGTACATCGATGTGAGTTCGTCCCGGAAACATTTCATCCGAAAGTTCGGAAACTCCTTTGACCCATTCAGGCTAGGGTGAAAGCGGTTGCTGAAAACCAAGCATGGCTCAATCTCTGCTGCTAGGTCCCCTTCACAACTGAAAGATACATTGAGAAAATGGCAGGTTGATAGCAAGTGATCCATGGGATCTGGACAAGGAAGGTGCAGTTCAACGCTGACGTTCCAGGATGAGAATGTCTTCCACCATGTCCAATCCCGTTCCTGCGAAACGAAGTCACAATCTTCGTACCCAATCTCATCCATGATCTCGTATGGAACCCTTAGCCTGCTGTGCGTTGGGAAACTGTGCCCAACACTATCAATGCTAGCAGGGTTCTTCCAGAATCTTTCATTGGCTTGGAAGGCATCATATGAATAGCCTTTGTGACCACAAACCCTCTCATAATTCAAAGCCAGGGCCCCGTTCAAATCTGAACCCCTTGTTTGTGCCATATGAACGTGCCCATACAGCAAAAAGTTGCGAGGCAAGGTGGTTTTGTTGCCGTCTCTAAGCCCATTGGACGTGTTAAATCCAGCAAGCAAATCGTGCGGTGAATCTAGGCAGTCGTTGCAGAACTTGTAGTAATCAAGGTCATTTAGATATTTTGCCACGGTCGACTTGGCGGATTCATTGCTCCAAAGGCATTCGTTGCTCTTGTTCCGGGGCAAGTTTGAGGGGATGTGCACATAGGTACTCTCAAACCTCTTTCTCTGCAGTTTCGTCCCCATATACTCGATGTAAGTCGATGTGAGTTCGTTTCGGAAACATTTCATCCGGAAGTTCGGAAACTCCTTTGACCCATTCAGGCTAGGGTGAAACCGTTTCCACGGCCCCATGCATCGCTTGACTTCAGAAATCAAGTCACCTTGACACTTGAAGGGCACATTGAGGAAATTGCAATAAGACAGCAAGTGATCAATGGGATCACGACACGGAAGGTGTAGTTCAACACTGACATTCCAGGACGAAAATGTCTTCCACTTTATCCAATCTCTCTCCTGCGAAATATAATCACAATCTTCATACCCAATCTCATCCATTACCTGAAATGGAACTCGTAACCTGCTATAACTTGGAAAACTTTGTCCAAAACTGTCAGCATTCTCCACATTCTGCCAAAAACGCCGATTGGCCTGGAATGCGTCATATGAATAGGCTTTGTGGCCGCAAACTCTTTCGTACTTAAACGCCAAAACGACATTCAAGTAAGAACCTGCTGTTTTGGGCATATGAACATGGCCATACAGCGGTGATTGCGCAAATGCCATTTTCGCAATGGTTGCTTGGTTGGGCCTGGGCGTCCAAGGCTGGCCGGGGTGGTCCCTTGCAAAAATGGTTTCATCAGTCGCAGTGGTTGCTGGTTTCACTGGAATGGCCAACTGTTGGGCCACCGCAGGTCTTTCTTCAAAACCAGTGCTGCCTCCCATCACAGAAGGTGCCTGGGTCCGTGTACTGAATGTCGTGTCGTGAATAGCAGTGCTCTGATGTTTCACCGCTGCAAGCGGCTGCTGGGCTACAGTAAGAATTTTTTCTTCTGTCTTGGCAGGACCAAGGACAAATGCGATGCTGACCAATGCACTGCAAAGCAGCAGGCCGAAACATTTGCGCAGACATCGCACCATTGCGTGTTTTCCGCAGATGAACCACATCGTTTCGAGTATGGTGTGTGACATCGTTTGACAAACCTCATGGTTTTGAGGATGGTGTGTGTGTGTGTGTGAGATGGTTGAGCCTCATTGAAATAACGTTTTGACTTACGACTGGTGAACTGTGAGTCTTTGAAATTTGATCTATCATTATCTATACCTAGGGAGGGGCAACTTCATGGTTCTAAAAAAATCAATTGTTCTGAAAAAAATGACACTTTGCATTTCCCCAAATTGTGAAACCTAGAAAACTGCAGCAAAATGCAACAAACCAATCATCAAACAACGACGGATCACATCTGTCAATACTAGCAATTGCAACAACATTGACGTTTGCCACCGTTCGTAGGCTTGCAAGATTCCAGCCACGAGTTTAGCAGTGGAACATCCACTATTGCAAGTTCAAGTTGAAAAAAATCAGCCTTGTTTGACGACCAAAGAGTGCCCACCCGATCCTTTTCGGAACTGCGCGTATACTTCACCTAAAGGGTGCTCAGGCAACCCGGTTGAAAAAAAAAGAAGCAAGATAGGAGGTAACAAAAGGTATAATAATCCCTCCGATACGATACTGTCATCCGTGCCGTTTTTCAAGCTGGCTAACACGTCTTCCCATCTCATGGGGCAAAAGATGAACGTTCCCAGTAATGATGTAACAAGCCGCTGAATAAAGAACTAGGCCCCAGAAAGCACAAAATATGTTTTGGACAAACGCTCTTGTGCAGCAGCACCAGCAGGGGGGCACTCCAAAGCCTTCCAGCGGCACCCTGCAGTTGCACCAACACCGAGGCTCCAAAGCGCAGGCTCCAAGGCTGCGGCACGGGCCTCAGCTTCCATCCTCCAAAGTGCACATCTTGCAGCACCCCGCACCACCTGCAGCGGCTCCAAAGCGCACGCTAAACGTTTGGTAGCGAAATCCGGCCGCAGCACCCTGCAGCGGCACTAACACCCAAGCTTGAAAGCCAACTGCAGCGGCACCACCCCCCGGCTCCAAAGCGCACACCGCACCCGCAGCTCCAAAGCATCACTGGCAACCCTGCAGCAGCCTCTGCAGCCGCGTTCCAAAAGACCCTTAACTTGAAGAACGCTCGCGAATCAGGGATGAATCATATAATTGCCATTGGAAAAGGCACCTACTGGATCCTTTTCGGAACTAACTGCGCGCATACTTCACCTAAAGGATGCTCAGGGCAATCACTCTAAACAAGGTGATCCTGCCAGGAACAAGTGCCAATTAGATACCTTACCCGTTCTAGCTGGTTACGATTTCACAAGGCCTTAATTCCCAAGAACGCTGACAAATCACAATGCATCATAGTTGCCATTGCACGGCAAGCATTTGTATATATAAGAACAAACAAAATCAAGCTTAGCTAGCTTCGATTCCCTTATTAGTCAAAGCACATTTAAACGACACGCGGAGCTACCGCTCGTCCAGATTTTGGCCCCTGTTCAAAGCGTTAGCACGACACAATTTCGATGATTTTCATCTTGTTGTCGCGGGCTCCTACTCTTAAATTTTCAATGACCATTGGTAAAGTCGAATTTGGCCTGACATTGAAGCCTAGGACCTGTTGAGAACCTGGCTGTTGAAAAGTTTGAGCAGCATTGGAGAAAATGGTTTCTGACTGCGACACTTTGGCAGCAGCGTTCCATTTACCTGCAATTGTGAAGTTCCTTCCGTTCAAGAATATTCTGCCAGCCCCGAGTTTCTCATAACTCCTCAGGTATGTAAAGGTAAAGGTAGGGTTCTCCCGAAAACACAGCTCTACTTGCATCAAAGACGCAGGCTCGGTTGAAATCCATCCTGGTTTTCCGGGGCGATCTTCGTACAGGGTCCAATTCCCTTTGAGAATCTGAGGCTGAACTGTCGATGAACGGAAAGCTGAAAACACAGAGCATGGATACATGCAACGAGGGAACCTGTTGCGATACTTCGCCGGGTGAAAGGCTTTGCTAAAGTCCCGGCTCAGATCCATGTCTTCCACTTTCATCTTCAACATGTGGTCCCAAATCTTCCTAAAGCTGAGGGCCAACATGTCTGCAACAGCCTGATGGGTCTTGAATCCTGGGTGTGCACTGGTCCTTGCCCATGTCCAAAGCTCAGGAACTGTTGCCACCGCCCGTGCAACATCCAAAAACGGTATCCGGTAAAAATCGAGCACCCGCCGGTGTGCCTGGGCACTTGCGATGCAACGTGGACACCCGGCCTCTAACGCAAGAAGGGCGCTCTTGGGAGCAAGCTGATTCAAAGATCTGAGAAGTTCTTCAAAAGCCACGGAGATGGTAAGGTTCCCGTCCCAGTCTCGCCATTTCTCGCTTCCGGCGCTCAACATCTTATTCTCATTGTGCGCGTCGTTCACCAATGTGTCAACCAAAATAAGGTCCACACCGCTGAAATTGTACAACCCAATCCCTCCAAGAATGACTGCTGATGGACTGCCACCTTGCGCGATGTTCTCCACCTGCACTGTAGCACTTGGAAACGCCAGGTGCAACCACTGCTTCCAACGGGCCGGCCAAGCACAATCTTTTCCGGCAATTCCGCGCTTTGAAGCGCTTTGCCAACAATCACCTCCAAGTGTGAACGAGCCCCCAAACACCTGGCAACGGTCTGCCAAAACCTATTGTTTGGGCGCATCACCCTGGTAATTTTGACACGTGTTGAAACTAAAGATGTAAGTACATATGGCTACAGAAAATAAAGCTGCATATAACATCATTTGATATCATATAACTAACTCTTGCACATATAGCTACAGAATAGGTACAGAATATGGTCCGCATCTCTTCAGTTTATCTTATTCTATTCCCGTTCTGATGCCACAAGATGTCAATTTAAATCGATGTATATAATTACAAATTATGCATGTGCGGGTGCATGTGTGGGTGCGTGCGTATGTGTGTGTGTGTGTGCGCGTGTGCGTGTGCTTGACATTGAAGATGTCTTCTTCACAAAGGGTCAAACCGATATGTGCAAAGAACCCAGGCAAAGTGGCACTTGATGCCCTCAACCCAACATTTTTTGGACCAATCCGAAGTTCCGAAGGTAGTCACCCAAAATCAAAGAAAACCACATCTGAAGCATCAGGCGGAAAAGTAGCAACGTTTGCTTGAGATATACTGGTATCTAATGTAAACGGTGTGTATGGAAATTGGGATGTCATGATTAATAATCATGTTCGACTGAAATTGCCATATTTTACGTTAAATTGGTTTATGCTTATGTTTTGGCAAAACAATAAAACCTCCACCGACATGGCCAGGGCACCATGATTTTCACCAAGGATCCTTGGGCAAGTTTTTGCATCACCGGCACCAACCGTTTCCACTGCCCAAAGGGCACTCTTTGAAAGCGAGACACATCGAAGTAGAAACCTCAAATGCGTGCCGACCAACCCGACCCACCCGCACTGCTTTTCACCAACCGAATTCGAGTCAGCATCTGGGGACCCTTCGGCCACCTTACGGCCACATATCTTAGCGGTTCTAGAAGTAAACCATCGCATTTTTGGGTGCCCCCAATTTTGACCCAGACGCCACATTGTGTGACTGGGTGTTCTGAATGTTTTCTCATCTCTTCCGCGCGGAAAGAGTGCTTTTCGGACATGTCGAGGTAACGACTTGGGGGTGAGGGGTGCTTTAATGAATACATTCATGGCGATACCAGTCACAGGTTGGGATATAATTAAATAATATTAAATATGCCCAGTCGTGAAGGTCGCAGTTGCAGTTCCACGAGTTCCAGGTACGATTTGCGAAAGAATCTGTTCACACGATGGGGCGGTTCTTACGGTGAGTTGATCGAAGGTTCGCAAATAATCCCACATACTTGTTTGCCTTGGTGACCCTTACTCGCTCTTCCATTTTCCATTTTCAAAGGAAAGCTCGCACTAAACGTGTTCCAGGGGATCTTTTGCAGAGGTGCGTTCTAGCCTGCGCGACGTGTCCGTTTTTGGACTGGTGGTGGTGGGGTTGGTCGAAACATCCCACTTTAGAAGCGAAACTAAGGTGAACTGACCTTTTCTTGGAGGTAAAAGCGTGGTGGTCGGGACCCTAAAAAAGATTGGCTTCCATAATTTTTAGTGGGTGTTCCGGTCAGCTTAAGCTAAAATTGGCTCACAACCATCTATTTTGGCATATCTGGCCACATTTCGCCAAGGAGATCCCCTTTGATTTTCTTGACCTTGCCTTCGGGATAGAGCAGGTGTCCTTCAGACTCACGACTAATTGGTTTACCGTTCTCCGGCATCCAAACCCAAATTCATTTCGCTATACTTGAATGTAGCCATCTACAATCTTCCTCATTTTCGAGTTGGCTCAAAACATGTAGCTGGCTCAATTTCAAAAGGGATCATGTGTTTAACTTTAATGTTGTGCCGCTGTCTAAGCAGATTTGGCCCAAAACGTGGCTTCTAAATTTCTGGGCTGCAACAGGGGTACCATCTCTATACTATTAAAGGAATCATGTGGGAAATGGGAAGCAATTTGTAGGCTCGCTCAAGTGGAACGAGCTACCTCAGCAACACCGCGCTAGCTCAAACACATCGCTCTAGCTCGATGGCATCGAGCTGGCTCAATTTTTTTGAACAGAAAAAAAACGAAAAAAAAACTCAAAAAAATTGAGCCAGCTACATCCCTGTGAGCTGGCAAACGAATATGAGAGCTAAAAACGAATACATAGTATGCGTTGGCCGGGATGATGACGGCACACCGAGATGGCTCAAGGGCATGCAACTGGCTGAATGTTTTCGCGTTGTTTTTCCGGTTTTTTTTTGTCCAAAACAAATGAGCCAGCTGAGCGCGTAACAAGGCATTGAGCCAGCTACATCTCCAACAAATCAAATTATTGATTATATAATACTTGCACCATATGAAATAAAATAGAAGACTGGCAGTCTGTACATATGTATACATAACCCCGACCGTATAATTATGGTCAACCTGAGGCAACACCAGTTTTCTTGAGGGAGACGCGTACCCTTGAGCTGGAGGGAGCTTGGGAAAAGTAACTTTCGAATTTTACATGTTCTTTTGAAATAATGAAAATCGGTTCGCCATCCGCCTTCGTGATTCTAGGCCTGACCTTGCACATGCTCATAGTCGGAGATAAAATTGGCATTTGGATAACATCGTTGGCGCCAATGTAGATCTATTTTGTCATCTCTTGGGCGCCCGATATTTGAACCAATCTGCTGTCCAAAGCAAACTTCCAAAAAGCGGGGCTGTAGTGGGGCTGTCCGTAGTTATAATTTTCCACATTCATCATTTTTCCACTATAGCACTTCAGCACTTGCCCACCATTCAGCCAAGCAGCCATCCTTCAGCTTGTAAATTCCACGATCTGCATTGGGCTGTGGCAGGTTCCAGGGTGCCACAATTCCACGGCCTTGCAGACTTTCATGCGACCCGCAGCCCGTTGAAGGCGGTTGGGAGAGCCAAAATCCAGAGACGGCTTGTGTCAGATCGGAAGGGAATTGCGAGCTCAAACCATGGGGAAAAATAATCAAAAATAGGAAGGTGAAGATCAAACCAAAGCCCAGAATGGCGAAGCAGGTACGTGGCAAAATCGGCAAATGCAAAACGATTCTTTGTGCACTCTCCGGCATCTTTTCAAAAAAACATTAATCTTGATAATTACTTGGGCCAGACGCAGCAGTTTCGGAGACTTGCTGTTCACCGGACATCACCCATCCTCTGGCAACATCAAATACTTCCAACAGCTATCCGTTCAGTCCCTGGTCGCGTTGGTGTTACAAAGGCTGATTGACGCACTAAACGGAGACGACTGACAGATGTGTAAGGAGGTGGTTACATGCGGAAAATCAAAAAAGACCCACTATGAATAGTCTTACATAATTATGGGGGCGAATGACCCGGGTCGAAAGGCGGGTGCTGACCTAATGTTACTGTTATACCCGCCTGATTTGCTCATGGCGCCGTACCAAGTTGGATGAGAAAAATTTGCAATTTGATGGCAAACTGACACGCTGCCAGTGTAAAACCCAAACTCTTGACACCCGACGAGATCTCAACATATCTCAACACAATAAACAATGTTTCATCGATTTTCCGGTTCCAGGCAGGTTTGCTTGCCGGATGAGTTAGACCCCGCAAAACCGACACGGATTCCCCAAGAAAATCTCCACTCCGACATCATTTTCCAGCCCAAATTTTCAGGGTGGCTCCCTTGCCCGAAATTCCACCGGACCAAAAATTGGTGAATCAAGTGAGGTTACACAACCCAGCATATCATATCATATCATCCCCGTGTGGCAATCGTCTAAATATTATAGTCGAACCTTTGGCATTGGAGCAACCGTGTTTTTACTGGGTCAATCTTGGATCCTATTTTTGGAAATCTTGACAAACATGTAATGTGGTTGTTTGTGACAGGCATGGCACTTGATGTCATTCCAACGTGCTTGACAAACTGTGGGCAATCATGCCGTGTGACATGCGCAATACTTTTGAACGGTCTTTTACTGTCTTTTAATTAAGAGGTGTTTATGATATTCATGTTTTGTGGCCGGCGCACGACTTTGGAGATATCCATCTCCAATTTTTTCGTGGCAGGCGCAACACTTTAAACGTGTGCATGGTGTGGCCTACTTTTGCTGCTGTGTCAAGCGGTGACAAAATGCAAGCGTCGTGGCAGGCGTGGTACACTAGGCACGTCATGAAAATTGACGGAAGCGTTTCATATCTGATTCAATACAAAATCGGAGGAAACTGGAAAACGCATTTTTTTGGCTACAAAATGCCAAAATCTGAGGACGTTTCGTACGAAATGCTCGGCTTGAGCCTCATACGTGGTGTGCTTGGATCATGTTGTTTTGTTGTGTGGCACGGCCACGCGGGGTCGCTGGGTACGCTTTTTGTGTGTGTGTGGGTCATTCGCGTCATTTTGCGCCACAGCTTGGTGAAGTTTCAAGGGGAAGGGAACTGCCACCTGTAGACCTGACGCTCTCCACTCTGCATTCCACACTGTCCACTCATCTGGTTGGTGGTTTCAACCCCTCTGAAAAATATTAATCAGTTGGGACGACTATTCCCAATATATGGCAAAATAAAAATGTTCCAAACCACCAATCACTCATCAATTGTACATTTTACATCGTTTGACACTTTTCTGCAGGATCGACGCTCCACACTTCACACTTTACATTGCGCTCTTCACACTCCAGACTCTATACGCTCCACTCCACACTTTACACTTCACTTCAGACTCCACACACTACACCACACTCTACACTCCACACTTCACACGCCACACTCTATACACGCTACACTACACACTCTCCACACTTTACACTCCACACTCTCCACACTTTACACTCCACACTCTGCCCTCCACACTCTACACCATTGCGCGTTTTCCCGCAGACGAACCTCATGGTTTCAAGCATGGTGTGTAACATGGCTTAACCTAAGAAGTGGGTTCTATTTGATTTTATGAAATGACGCAATGACCCATGACTGATGGCCTATGAGCCTTTCGATTTTGATCTATTATTTATATTACTATTTTTGTATATATATATATATGTGTGTATATATATATATCTATATATCCTAGGTATGCCTAGGTGGGCACAACTTCATGGTTCCAAACATCTCCACATGGTTCCGGAAAATGTCCTACGTTGCATTTCCCAACATGTGAATCTGCAGCGAAACGCAGCAAACTAACCATCAAACAACAATCACATCTTTCAATACACCTGTATAGAATTGTAACCAATCCTAGGCTTGCAAGATTCCAGTCAAGAGCTTGTCAGTGGAAAAATGCCAATTAGATTAATTAGATCCCTCGCCCTTTCTAGCTGGTTAGGATTTCACAAGGCCTTAATTCCCAAGAACGCCCACAAACCATAGATGAATCATAGTTGGTCCACATCTGGGGGGCTCTTAGGCATGTACATCCAGTACATCGAGATAAAGACCCATTTTCCGACCCTAAATTTTAAAATAATTTTTGGGTCTGACCCTTTAAAAATGGCACAAATTGTGCGGTACCCTATTTTAAGACATTCCCTTTCACGGCAAAAAATGAACATATAAAACAACTCCTCCAGGTGGTTTCCTAAGTAAAAAAAACTGCTCTCCCGCGATCGGCAAGGCACATGACACATGGCACGGTCATCTGGTACCCAGCGGTTTCCTTAGGCTAGCAGCTGCAAAGCAAATGAATTTATATACTTTTGTAACCATATACAACTGGGGTATATTTCAAAATACTCATACCGCTGGGGTGCAAAGTTGCTATTACCAACTTGCTAGCTGGGATGCACATCCAAGCAGAACCTACTTCCAAGTATTGGAGATGGGCAATGGGTCATATGGTGGTCGATAATGACAGTGCTGCCTTAAAAGAAATATGCATGCCACAGATCTTCCTATAGGTTTCTACATAGGTGATGTCATAAAGTAATCGCTCTTTTCAACTTCCACCCCGGCTCGGCCGGGCACTATTCTTGGTAACTATATATATATATACATACTAAAGGTTTCTATATAAAAACGTATTGCATGTTGATGGTGTTTGGGGTCTCGCAAAAGAAACGACTTCGCGGCTTCACCAAGATCCCCCACTTGCGCGCTTGCACCGCCATCCGCACCACTGCCGGATCCGCGGGTTTCTTACAGATCATGCAGCGTCTGGCCGCCAAATGCCGGGTTTCTTAATGGTATGGGTCCCGGGTTGGTTATGAAAAAGGGGATCCAACAATGGGAAGCCAACGGAATATAAGGGATCTGACTACCAAGACATGGATATGCTTGGATAAATCAAGGAATTTCATCCCCTTGATATTCAATTCCCGCAAATGATTTTCTAAGATGAATAGATCCGGAAGATTTCACGAAGATTTCCAATGAGGGTCCTGAATCTTGCGGGGAATTGGTTCTTCATGTGGACATTGTAATCCAATCGGCAACTGTTGATTTGACTACGAACTGGTTTGATAATTGAATATAACAGATGCGTTTCATGTCGTACTTGGTGGAAAATGATTGGGGCCGTAGGGATTCGTCAGACAAGCGCAGGCCATTCAAATAAATGCAAGTTCATGGTTGGTAACTCCGGCATATTTCATGCCCTACCTCCGTTTAAAAGAAAAAAAATCATCTGCCTCATTCACTGGCATTGATCCCTCAAATAGCACACGGGGATCCTTCAAGTATGCAACAACTCTAATGGACTCCAGTTGTTGCCAAATAAAACCCACGACATGAACCACCCTCCCAATCAAACACCACTGATCACCATTTCCCTAGTCTGTTGGCAACCTTCCTTCTGACTAAACAATCTAAGGGGCTCAAAATTTTCAGCCCATCTTGCTGGAGCCCCCTCTTGACTGCAAACCCGGCTGGGAATTGTTGCCGTCAGCGAAGCAATTCATTACAGGGTATTGGGCATTGAAATTGATAAGCCCCAAAAAATGGTGGTCTCACCCATGGTCTCATGGTTTTCGAACCATCTTCGAACAGATTCCACCACAAAATATTGCTCCATCATCAATGCGCCCTTGTTTTCAAGCTCTACCTCACGTTTTGTTAGGGCACACCTCCAAATTGCTGGAAAGGTTGCCACTGACTCCCAACTTCTGCAGAAAGCCCTGGAGATCCTTGACTTTCTGCCGAACGCTACAGATCTTGCGTTCAAGCGCTGTGCCTGTGGGGTCCAGGTCCCGGATAGTAAACCAGTCAAAGGTGGTCTGGCCGCATGTGATGGCGTCCTTCTCCGCCAGATCCAGGCGCAGGCCGAAAAATGGGATGCCATGGCGGGCCAAGTGTAGCATGGGCTGATGGATCCAGCCGTTGTGCAAGTGCCAACCCAACCTGATGATGGGCTGAGGTGACAGAAAGAAGAATTCTTCAGAAAAAACACCTGGGCGAATCCGGGACACTAAACACCCTAAAGTTGAGCTAGATAACAACACTCCAGTAATCCACAACCCTGGACATAGAAAATCCGCAGCTTGCAAATAAATGTCCCACCAGTGGTGGGAATAAACTTGTGAAATCCCATCCATTCCAGAACTGTGAGTCCATTGGCCCATGTGGAAATCATTCCGCCATGGACTAATGGAAAAAATGTATATACTATTGAAAGCGTAGTAAATAACTGTATATAAATATATAATTCACCTTATAATATATATATATATTACATGTGCATTGTAAATATATATATATAATTCACATTATATATATATATGATATAACCGGTAAATGCGCCACGATCAAAACATGGTATTGATTCGGTCATCACCATCTTGGGGTACTCCCTTCATCGAAGGAAGTTTAAAATCAAACTTCCGACAATATGGACAGATGAAAAGCAGAGATGGGAAGAGTCAGAGAGAAGAGAAGAGTAGAAGAGAGAAGATCAGAGAAGAGAAAGAGTCAGAAGAAAGAAGATGCAGATGCGCGAAAAGGTAGGAAAGTCGCGAGACACTTTGTTTTTCCAATGGTTTGTGGCTCCGGAGGGTCGAAAAGTAGGTTCGCTAAAGCGGCGGGTGCGGAGCCATCTGGCCAGATGAGAGATGAAAAATTGCACGCCGCTGTGGCACGAAGCACATTTCGAAGTCAAAATGTACAAAACACACCAGGTCCGGACCACTTTTGGAAGTTGAGATGTCGAAAAAGTGCACGCCGTTGTGGCGCGAAGCACATTTCGAAGTCAAAATGTAGAAAACACACCATTCTCGGACCACTTTTGGAAGTTGAGATGTCGAAAAAGTGCACGCCGCTGTGGCGCGAAGCGCATTTCGAAGTCAAAAGTGCAAAAAACTGACGGGTACGGAGCACTTTTGGACGTTCAGATGTGCTTTCACGTGGCATGCGCAAGGGATTGTGCGCCTTCTCAAAAGTGAGCAAAACGTGAAGGTTTTGTAGCATTTCCAAAAACGATGGCAGGATCTGCAAAGATGCATTTCGCGTGGCAGGGGTAGTACAAAAGACATGTTTATCAGAGATGTTAGGAGGTCAGGGCGCTGATTTCCTGAGAGGGGTTGCATTTTTGAAGCATCAGATCTGTAGGTTTGCTAAGATGATTTTGCGGGACAGGTGCGGCACTTCGTATGACCTGGCATCAATTTTTCGTGGCAGGCGCAGTACTTTAGACAGGTGGAGTGGAAAAATCGCAAAACGCATTGGTACGAGGCTTTCAGCGCTGCACTCAACTTTCGATTTTTGCAGGAAGTCTCGCAGAATTGCTTTGTTTTTGAAGTTGTCAAGTTCAAACATTGAATAAGTCTCGCGGAATTGCTTCGTTTTGGATGTTGTCCAGTTCAAAAATGAAGAAGTGTCGCAGAATTGCTTCGTTTTTGATGTTGTCCAACTTCGAAAATGAGGAAGTCTCGCAGAAGAGCTTCGTTTTCAAGCTTGCAGATAGACAGATAGATAGACAGACAGACAGACAGACAGAGATAGATAGATAGATAGATAGAGAGATAGATCGATCGATAGATAGACAGATACATAGATGGATATGTAGATAGGTAGATAGGTAGATAGATGGACAGATAGACAGATAGAGAGATAGACAGATAGACAGACAGACAGACAGACAAACAGATAGATAGATAGATAGATTAGATAGATTAGATAGATTAGATAGATTAGGTAGATTAGGTAGATTAATAGGATAGATAGGAAAGATAGGAAAGATAGGATAGATAGGATAGATAGGATAGATAGGATAGATAGGATAGGATAGGGTAGGATAGGATAGGATAAGATAGGATAGGGTAGGGTAGGATAGGGTTAGATAGATAGATAGATAGATAGATAGATAAGTAAGATAGATAGATAGATAGATAGACAGATAGATAGATAGATAGCTAAATTAGATGAAAGAGAGAGAGAGAGATAGATAGATAGATAGATAGATGGATTGATTGATAGATAGATAGATAAATTAGATAGAATAGAAAGAATAGATAGGATAGATAAAAAAAAAGAATAGAATAGAATAGAATAGAATAGAAGAGAAGAGAAGAGAAGAGAATAGAACAGAGTCGAATAGAATAGAATAGATAGAATAGAATAGAATAGAATAGATAGAGTAGATAGGTTAGATAGATTAGATAGATTAGATAGAATAGATAGGTTACATAGGTTAGATAGAATGGATAGATTAGATGGATTAGAAAGACAGACAGAGATACATAGACACATAGATAGCTAGGTAGGTAGGTAGCTAGATAGATAGTTAGATAGACAGATGAGATAGATAGAAGGATAGATGGATGGATGGATTGTAGGATGGATGGATGGATGGACGGATGGATGGAAGGATAGATAGGTAGATAGATAGATAGGTAGGTAGATAGATAGATGGATAGATAGATCGATCGATCGATCGATAGGTATAGACAGATAAACAGATAGACAGAAAGACAGACAGAGATAGATAGACACATAGATAGCTAGGTAGGTAGGTAGGTAGGTAGGTAGGCAGGTAGCTAGCTAGCTAGATAGATAGAGACAGATAGATAGAGACAGATACACAGATAGACAGATAGACAGATAGACAGATAGACAGATAGAAAGATAGACAGATAGACAGATAGACAGATAGACAGATAGACAGATAGATAGATAGATAGATAGACAGATAGACAGATAGACAGATAGACAGATAGACAGATAGACAGATAGATAGATAGACAGATAGATAGACAGATAGACAGGTAGATAGTTAGATAGATAGATAGATAGACAGACAGATAGATAGATAGCTAGATAGATAGGTAATTAGATGAAAAAGAGAGAGAGAGATAGATAGATACATAGATAGATCGGTAGGTAGGTAGAAAGAGAGAGAGAGAGAGAGAGAGAGATCAAATCACCTTTCGATCCATCAGTGGCTTCGCTCTGCCATCCGTGATTCACAACAACCAACCTCTCCTATAGGTTTCCTATTTCTGAAACTTCCGCCACCGCCTTGTGCGGTACTACTGGTACACTAGATAAAGAACGATGTCCACATGGACTTGGGAGTGCCGTTCCAACTATAAGTGGATACATATATATATATATACATACACATATACCCAATAGTTATATATAGGCGTTATAGTTATATCCCGACTTTTGGGGGTTTAGTCCACCATTGAGTTTTCACGTGTACCCCAAGCCAGACCCAAAGCCTGATCCATATACAAACCCAACTGCAAAGAGATGGATTCATGGTTGATCATCACATGTTCCATTAACATGGCCATTGGCATTTTTGCTATTGCAATATTGTATGCGATTGGATTATATGTATGCATATTATGACAAAACCAAGGAATTAATTTGGTAGAGCCAATGCTATACTACCCACAATGGGGGTGGTTTCAATCTGAAATCCAGGTTTATCCACTGCGATGAATTTGGATGGGTATGGTTCATTCTTGAGCTTACCCAGTTAAAAAACGGTACTGGTCTTCGTGTCCAGGCAACAGGTCTTCCATTTCTTCGGTGATCTTGGTGTAATTGTACACTGAGCCTGGCTTGAACATCGAGCCTAGCTTGAAGCCAGGCCCAATCACCACTCGAGTGCCGGCGATATGGGTAGCGTACCAACCTGCGAGCCGCCGATGCATCGCTGCAAACATGTCGTTGAAACACATCACCGCATCCGGACAAGTGGAAATAGTCTGCAAGGAAAAGCTATAGACCATGTCAGGTCGCAGAAACAAAACATATGCAAAGCGCTTCTGAAACTCCTGTTCAAACTGAAGCATCATATCAAAGGCGACGACCCTGGAGCGATACATGTTCACATGCCCTTCTGCAGCAATGCTTTGTAGATGATCCGGCGGAGACACCAAGAACTTCAGCGCAGGGTCCTTGACCAAGGACGCGGTGGTCGTCCAGTTACAATCCTCGGGAAACACCGCGCGGTAGGGAACTTGGAAGCTTTGAAGTAACTCTTCCAGCTCCTCCAGGCACTGGGCGGACCACAGGGACCGGGGCATCCTAAAATGGATACCACCCCCAAATCATCCAAGTCATGAATTACCAGTCGAATTCTATTGAAACCATGGTTTTGGAAATCCCCCATTTTTGCAAACTATAACTATATGAAACTACATATATATATATATTCATATACATATATACATATATACATATATATATACATATATACATATATATATATACATATATATATATATATGTGTGTGTGAGCAAGTGTGCGTGTGTGTGTAAAACATTGTTAAACTATAATTATATACACACACCTTTGGAGCCTAAAATCTGACCTGGAGATGAGAGAAAAAAACAAGTTGTCCAAAATAACATGCACCCCAAAAACCAAGTCTTCAGATTTCAAGATATATATGTCAATTTTTGGGGGGTATCCCGGTTTTGGCTTAAAAGTGCTTCGCGTGCCGTGTGTCCATCACTTGCAGCCCGGCGCGGCGCAGTTGGAACCTGGTCCTAGAGTGCTGTTCGACATAACTGGTCGACATATTTTTTTGCAAATGTCTGCTCTTGCAAATTTTCTCTTGGGCCCCAATCCCGATGGATCCACATTTGACCATACAAACTGCGGCGTAAAACTGCTGTCAAAATCCAGTAACGGTGCATCAGTTCGATTGGATCCGCCAAACAGAGGGTAGCCACGCATGAGGAAAAACCACCTTTTCCATTACGGGTTTTTACGATTACGGGTGGGTCACGGATGGGTTCCCAAAAACAGGGTTTTGGCAGTTGTATTACAGTGTTCCTACGGGTTTTGTATGGGACTTTATGGTGTTCCTACAGGTTTCCTACGCGTTTTAGGTGTTCCTACAGGTTTCATACGGGTTCCTGCTTTTTCCCCACTCGCAAAAAGCCGGTCGAAGTCCAATATAGTTATACCATGTTATACCCAGGTAATTGATAGGACATGCCACAACAACCACGTCTTCCTGCCAAAAAAATGGTGCTCATAGGTGTTCCCCTTTTCCTGAGCCTGATGTTGTGATGTTGATCCCACTGCAAGTAATATGAAGAAGATGCTACAGGGCCTGTACCCTGATCATGAAAGGGAGCCGTCTTTTTGACCATGCTGGCTTAAAAACCGTTTACGGTACAAATACCTCCCAAAGAGGACCGATCTCAAAATTCCCAAAGATTGGGAAGGATGAGGTTTCAGTGCAGAGGAAGAAGTAGCCGTGCCATTCAAATTGGACCTCCCTTTGCAAAATTGGTTCGATAATTAATGTTCGATATAGTTCGATGCGTTGGGATACCAATAATTATGGTATATAAAGTTAGATCATTTTTTTCTAATGTACCGCTTCCAAAGACAAGATAATACCTGGACCTGCAAAAGTACAAGAAAAAAACCTGAGCAGTTGGAACTTTGAACACAAATCAGCGCAAACAATGTGCAAAAATTTTCTAAGCATGCCAGATTGGCCCATTTGGATCAAACGTTCAGAAACAACGTGGCACAAGAATAATGTATATGGTCACCATTTAGACAATTTTAGACATAAGTCAACAAGATTGCGTATGGAACTACGTTGAGTGTAAGATCGACATTGAATTAGAGACGTCAACATGTTATGCACCTCTTTGAGACACGCACACATTCATGAAATATATTGTTTCTCGTCACCTGCCCCACCATTCAGGCATGGTCCTCCTGGTAGTTTGTTGATCCCCAAATGCAACAAAAACCAGAAACAAAACGCACGGGGAAAAAAAACAAAGTGCCCAAATAACCTTCAAAAACCTGCACAATTTCTTATATGTCTTTATTTTTTGTTGTGGACATGGATTCAACAAGATTATTGCGGTGGTGGGCTTTCAAGGCGCAATACGCGTAACAGTGGGGGCAAATAAAAGGCTCGCATACTTTCGACATGTCACAGCGCATCGATGTGACAATTTGTAGCCCAAGCTCAGTGGTGTAATGACCGCTCATGACTTTTCACTATTGTGTGGAAAAGCCTGTTCAATTTTGGTTTGGAAAGTTTTGGCGGGGAGCGTTCAAAAAGGCCCACAAAATCCCAAAAGTACATAAAAGTCCAACGTACATTATCGAACTTTTGAAGGCCCAGGTGCAAAGTTCAACTATGTTAAACTTCTTATTATAACGTTCATGCAGTAAACATAGTCTTTCCAGAGAACGAAGTTGAACTTCCACTATTTCATGTAGGAAGTCTTCAAAATTCTTACTCCCAAAGGGATGCAACTTGATGTAACCCGTTTGAACGCCCTGCCTTTGTCTGAAAAAATCTTGCTTCGCCATGGGGTTGTCGGTTCCCTCCCTGTTTATTGGTCGATTTCAAGCTCAGCACTCCGAACAAGGTCACTTGGCCCGCTTCGCGCTGCAGCTGAGGGAGGAATCGACGCCAATAGGCTTGCATCAGCTGAGTGGTGAAAGATCTCACCTGTCCAGTCATCAAAATCGCCATTCCCGCATCATTCCCAAATCCATGCCTTGGCGACTGTGGCCATTAAAAAGAAAAAGATACCGTTTTGATTCATGACAGTGTAGAGTTTTGTAGGTTCCTCATTTCTTGTGGAGTAAGTTTATGACGTCGAGAGACCTTCATTCATTGAAAAATTAAAAATAACTAAAAATATCAAAAACAAACAAACAAAAAACAAACCAAAAAAAACAATAAACAAAACAAAAAGCAAACAAAAAACTATAAACAATAAACAGCGCACGGTTTGAAACTCAGAGAGACTTTGTGCTTCTCCCTAATCGCCGCAGCTTGTTGATACCACTTGCTCTCAAAGTCCACAGTCTGCTGCGTTGCCTGCTGCCAAGCTGCGACCAAAACTCCCAAAATCCAACAAGGGCTGCCTAGTCAAAGCTTCAAACAGTGCGCCTACTACCCCTGATGGGGGGCAAGCAATGAGTCTAGGGGGTGCCCCGGCGGCTCGGGGTGCCCCGGCGGCTCGGGGTACCCCTTTTTTTTGTTTGTGTTTTTTCTCCTAGGGCCTAGGAGAGAGAAAAAAAAAAAGTACCACCAAAAAAAGGGGTACCACGAGCCGCCTGGGCACCCCCTACAATTAATTCCTTGCCCCCCATCAAGGGTAGTGGGCGCACTGTTTGAAGCTTTGACTAGGCAGCCCTTGTTGGATTTTGGGAGTTTTGGTCGCAGCTTGGCAGCAGGCAACGCAGCAGACTGTGGACTTTGAGAGCAAGTGGTATCAACAAGCTGCGGCGATTAGGGAGAAGCACAAAGTCTCTCTGAGTTTCAAACCGTGCGCTGTTTATTCTCTCTCTCTCCATCGTTTATAGTTTTTTGTTTGTTTTGTGTTGGGTTTGTTTTTTTGGTTTGTTTGTTTTTTTGTTTGCTTTTTTGTTTTTTTGTTTTCTTTTTTGTTTTTTTGTTTTTTGCTGGTTTCCAGTAAAATGAAGCATTTTGCGTCATAAGAGTAAGTTAAAAATCAACGACTCAGCAAATCAAGGATGCAGTTTGGGCCCACTCTGCGCGTTCACCTTGGTCGATTTGAGCGCCCCGCGAAACCATTCGCTGGGAAAAAATAGCTCATCACGACAGGTACAGGTGGCATTTTCCATATGCTCATGCCAGTAGCAGAGTTTCACCTCATGCTGCTCGCAGCGAAATGTCGCGCGGCAGCTCTCACGACACCAATCTGAAGCGCGGATTCCACTGGCGGCCTGTTTGAGATCTAATCGAGCCAGGCTTTCGAAGTTCAGGGGACTTGGGACCGTCGTGACAGCAGGGGCCGCTACGGCTACGCCGGCGCCATTGGGCCGCGGAGTGTCGGGGCGCAGTTGGAGTCGAGTAAAGCAAGAGAAGTCTTCAGTCCTTGCTGCAAGAAAAGCCAAGACGATCAAATTGGCTGCAGCGCAAAAGGACAACGCCACCGTTGATAAACGTCCAGTCCAGTCATGAGGAACGTGGCCGGCCTTGAAGCTAGTGGAACTTGACATGCCAAATGACTGCGGGTGAAAATGATCTGGCTCTTCCAAAGTTGGTTTCACGAGTTTATATAAGAAAGTAGCTGTGTGAATTTGGAGTCCCTAGAAATGGACTTTTGCGGGTTGATCTGCTCCCACATCTTAGTCTCCCTAGATGTGTTGGATAGAAATTCACCGCATCAACCAATGCATTCAACGAAATTTTCTGGGGGTAGGGCACCGTCTTCCATACCCAACAGGACCCAACAGCGATACAGTACCCATATCTGCTGAATCAGGGCACTTAGCGTCCCCCTTTTGAATCACAACAGGGTACAACTACTATGCCCTCACATCTAAAAGGATGCAAATAAAATCACCCAAAAACAGCAAACACGCAAAATAAAAGCAGACCGTAAAAGCATGGTTAGGGCGCTCCTGCTGAGGAAACACAATTAAATGACAAAATTCTGAATGGCCAGCACCATCCGGGAAAAACACATGAAGCGGGGCCGATTTCCAACCCTCTTAGAAATCAACCAGGAACCTCAAAGACGACCAAGTCTGGAAGATGGCATTCCTCGAAAAGTGCCATCTTGGGGTTCCTCTCGTGAAGTTTTAGTGTATCCACCCGATCTCTGCCTGAAGTTATCTGACATCTCGTACTGCGGATTCCTGAGGCTCCAGGGGTGCCATTTTTCCATGGGACATACAATGGATGACCTGGAAGCACTGAGCCACCCATGGTAGAAACCTGGGAACAGGATGGGTAGTCGGTCACAAGCTGGAAAACAGGCAAATTACCTATGGTATCCTATGGCGAGGTTCTCGCGAAGTATGAACCTCTACCAAATAATGATGTTTATGGTTTGCGGTTTATACCCACTACATCCCGGTACCATCTATCTAAGGGTTTCTAAGGGTTGCTTGCGATTGTGGGTTTCATTTGTACGTACGCATGGCCGATGCTTTTTGGCTCACACACAGAGCTACAGCAGCCAGCGCTGTACCAAGCGGCAGAAAGCAGGAGCGGTGCAGTAAACAAAGGCAGCGGGGCCTCGGCATTGGGACAACCACCTCGATATTCACATTGGGACAGTCATGATGTCATGAGGAGAAAACATGAGAAAACCAAAAAAAAGAACAAAGTGGACAGAAGTGGAAAAAAAGAACTCAAGAGCATCATTGCTTTTCTGCGGTTACAGCCAGCCTATTTGGTTTTGTCCAAAGTCAAGTTATGCTAATTACTCGTACAAACAGTTGAGACTAGATAGTCCACTAAAATCTGTTAAACCAAACTATTAGCCCACGATTTATATAACATCATTTTAATGGCCATGAGAACAATAAAAATAATAATAATAAGGTGAAATCACCAATCAGCAATGTTCTTTTGGGATCCATTTGTAGCGTTGAAGTTGAAGTTTGGAAAGGTCAAAGTTCCCATTGTATATCCCGATTGTCCTTGGTCAAATCCCGTTTTCTGCGTTCAGCAAGTCCTCATTTTCGCTCGTTGTTTTTTTCTATTTGTATCATGGTTAGATCATATCAAATATGTCAAATCCCGTTTTTCTTGGTTGAACATCCCAAGCTTTTTATTGGGTGAACAGTCCCAACATTTTTGCCACCAAAATCACCGGTGTTTGTTTAAGGGCGACCCAACTCGCTGGCACAGAGGTTGATGACCTCGCAGCGAGGGGGGGTCCACCATGAAATGTTCGTTGAAACGATGTTTGATTACCATAAACAAAGGGAACATAATACTAGGGCGTTTTCCCTTGAAACTCATATCATCAACACATATCAGAAACCTGTAGGTTTCTGATTTATGTTGATGCTAACTGTACTAGTAGCTTTATAATCCCTTCTTTCAAAAGTAGTATGCTCCCATCCCCTACAGATCCTACAAAGCATAACCCCCTACAAGAACGGACGGGCACGACCATCCCCAGCATTTGCACGAGAATCTGAAAGTGTCAGCAGTACTAGTGGTCTGTGACTAGGTGGACATGGAAACCAAGAACTCAAACGGAATGTGTGGAACATACCAGGTAACCAGGTAACGTGCCCCATCTATAGATGTGTTTCCTCTTGAGAAATACTTTCTCATTGCAATACATGATACGGATCCCGCATACCTTTTGACATGCCCAAATCCCTGCGTCAGGCTAGCGATGTTTAACAACAACAAACCCTAAAACCCTGAAACCCTAAACCCCCATGCCTATAACTCTAAACCCAAGAAGTCTGAAACCTGAAAGCCTAAAATCAAAATCCCTCTCTATAGCCACTGTTTTTGTTCATCATGCTGTTCATCCTCTGGTGACAAACGCGGGGTTCGCAAACTTCCAGGCAATTTGCTATCCACGTCTGGAAATGGCCATTCAACATCATTGAACATGAACCTGGCAGAACCAGCACCAGACTTACAAAGTATATATAATATTAGAAAATCCCATGGAAAACCTACCATTCATAGATGATTTTCCCATGGAAATCCACCATTTATAGATATTTATCGTGGATTCTCCAGCCATGTTGGATGATTTGTTTCCTTAGATTCTCCAAGTCTCAGTGAAAATGGATAAGGGTCCAAGGGTCCCAAAATAATGTGTGAGTGCATCTATGTATAGTGTCATATACTATCCCATTTTTCTATAGGTACTTGGAGGGTCTAGGTGTAATCATTTAGGAGTTTAAGTAATACTTAGTGACTTAGTGGATCAACTGGCCTCGCGTGGATCGTTGGGCAAAGGCTCCAAACAGAGCATGCACCTGGGACACAACCGGGGCTTTCCAGGGATTTGTTCAGGAACATGTATTTACCACTTCATAAATATTGGATTTTCCCGCTGCATTCCTGCAAAAAAATTGTCATCCAATTCCGGTAAATGTTGAAATTGGATGTTCCCAGAGTTCAAGATCTTCTTTCTTGTTCCGCTCAGAACTGGATCATAAGCGTTCACAACTGGCATATAACGGCGCCACCTCTCCTGAAAATTTGGCTGACCTTGGATCCTGCCAGATCCTTCCAGGACATTCTGTGACTGAGATCCGTGGCTGCCGTGGCTGTGTGTTTTGAACCATTATCCCCCTGATCATCTCAGCCAGATCCCCCTGATCCGTGGCTATTATTTTGGAACTGAGACCTGAAACATGGAAGGTGTCCACGATTTTTTTACCCAATTTTGGCTAGTTTGATGCTCGTGCACCTGTTCGACAAACCAACCAACTCCGACAGGGCATGACACCAAAGAGTATGTCCCCTATTTAGTGGGTTTTTAGCATGTTTAACACCTGCTGTTGCGAGATAACCGCCATTCAAAAGTTTTGAAAACCAAAGGGTATATTGGGTATAATTATCGTGCTATCCGGTTGGTGAAAACAACATTTTTGTTGCGCCTCAATCAGGCTCAATCATCATGTTTGTCAGGTAGCCCCCCAAACATCACCCCAAACTTCCCACGCCATTCACCAGCAGGTGGTACCAGCTAGATAGCCAAGTTGGTTCATAACTAGTTTAAGCTGACGGACTTCAAAAAGTTCCATGAAAGTGAATCGGAAAATATTTCGATATGTGAAATCGTTCCAATGGCGGTGGGAAAACCCACGCGAGTTGTTGAAGACAACTGCGACATTCATCAAGCAACTGTCTTGATTCGACTTCGGGCCTCTTGAAGAAGAAAAAACGCTGAGAGGGTTGTCGATGGAAAAGTTAAACCCTCAAGTTCGGAGACCCCTTTTTTTCAGTCAAAATTGACGTTTCGCTATGGCGAAACGATAATTTAGTAATAAATATGCGGACAGTGAAATTTCCGCCGGGTAGTTTAACTATGGTTCATGGCACAGTAGATATAATGAACCATAGTTATATATATATATATATAGTTATATCATATCTAAAACTCACAGCTCATGGGGGGACAACTTCTGCTGCGGGTGCTGAGGAGCCGGGCCCTCCGAGTTCCTAGTCATGAGCCGGGCATTTGCACATCTTTGAGCAGACAACAGTGGGATTCTACATGATTTTACCATCATGAATTAGGGAATGATGATGATGGTGGTGATGATGATGATTATGATGGTGATGATGATGATGATGGTGATGATGGTGATGATGGTCACGGTCATGGTCATGATGGTGATGGTGACGATGGTCATGGTGATGGTCATGGTGGTGGTGATGGCGGTGGTGATGGTCATGATGATGATGATGATGATGATGATGATGGTGGTGATGATGGTGATGATGGTGATGATGGTGATGATGATGATGGTGATGATGGTGATGATTGTCATGGTCATGGTCATGATGGTGATGGTGACGATGGTCATGGTGATGGTCATGGTGATGACGATGACCATCATGATGATGATTATGATGAGGATGGTGGTGGTGATGGTGATGATGGTGATGATGAAGATGGTGATGATGGTCATGGCCATGGTCATGGCCATGGTCATGGTCATGATGGTGAAGGTGACGATGGTCATGGTGATGGTCATGGTGATGGTGATGGCGGTGGTGATGGTCATCATGATGATGATGATGGTGGTGGTGATGATGGTGATGATGGAGATGATGGTGATGATGATGATGGTGGTGATGATGATTATGATGGTGATGATGATGATGATGATGGTGATGATGGTGATGATGGTCATGGTCATGATGGTGATGGTGACGATGGTCATGGTGATGGCGATGACCATCATGATGATGATTATGATGAGGATGGGGACGATGACGGACTTACAAAAGAATAGCAACCTGCAAGAAAAGATGCCGATAAACATAATTTCACTGCTCGATGTTGTGCACATAGGAATTTTCTTTTCAGCATCTTTTTGGGGGGTTTGCTAGCCTCATTGGTCCATGGGTTTACTACAATACCAAATTGATTGGTCATAGCCCAAAAATTGATAATGGTACAGTAATGAGATATAATTTGACGATAAAAATGGTGGTGCTGAAAATGATAAGCATTGATAAGTAGCGTTACCCTCTGGTTATGGAACATAGCTACGGAAAAGTGACAAGTTGTAGATGATAATCATAGGACCGGATAACCCGGCATGTTAAAAACTTCACCAGACTTAGACTGAGCATAGAAAAGCAACAAGGGAAGAGGTATGAGAGTGATGGAGGGGTGATGGTGGGTGATGGAGGTGTGATGTATTGGATGTGATACTTTTGATTTTGATGATGATATTGTGTGTGGGAGGATGTGGGAGGACAGGCGGGAGGAAGGAAGGAGGAAGGAGCGGATACGGATACAGCACTAAAAACAAAAACCCCACACGTCAATGTGGGGAACCAAAGCCACCGGCAGAGCGGCGGAGACCAAGGGACACCGGAGGGACACCGGGGCGTACATCCGATTCCTTTGCAGTGCACCACGTCCCGCGCCTGCCACGCAAAAGCCACCGGCAGAGCGGCGGAGACCAACGGACACCGAAGGGACACTGGGGCGTACACCCGACCCCTTTGCAGTGCACCAAGTCCCGCGCCTGCCACCCAAAAGCCACCGGCAGAGCGGCGGAGACCAAGGGACACCGGAGGGACACCGGGGCGTACATCCGACCCCTTTGCAGTGCACCAAGTCCCGCGCCTGCCACGCAAAAGCCACCGGCAGAGCGGCGGAGACCAAGGGACACCGGAGGGACACCGGGGCGTACATCCGACCCCTTTGCAGTGCACCAAGCCCCGCGCCTGCCACGCAAAAGCCACCGGCAGAGCGGCAGAGCGGCAGAGACCATTGTGTGTGGGATGTGTGTGTGTGAGTGATGTATTGGATGTGATGCTTTTGATTTTAATGATGATATTGCGTGTGGGAGGATGTGGGAGGACAGGCGGGAGGAAGGAAGGAAGGAGGAAGGAGCGGATACAGCACTAAAAACAAAAACCCCACATGTCAATGTGGGGAAAAATGATGATTTACCATGATTTGCCAATTGATTTAATGGTGATTTTCCAGTTCACAAACCGTTAGTCATAACCAGACATAGATGGAAGACGACCATCGGTCATGAGGTGCTGGTCATTCCAATGCATGGTACTGGCATCCTCGTTGATCTCGATGTTAAGCCCCTTTATTTTTTTGATGAAAGCTGCTGAGATTTGTGGCGATTCTTTGCGCTGCAGTTGCTTCTTGTAATTTTCATGTAAACCTCCAACGACTCAACGTATGCGAATTTTGAATCCAAATTCGTGCAGATTTGGAAAAGCATAGATCAACGATTGTGGGGTGATCATCCCAATTCTTGGTAACCACGTGTCCATCGAGCCTCCTTGGCATGTTCCCGGCCAGCAACCGCATAGCTGTACCTCACCATCTACATGCTGGGAATGGAAAGGGTGGGCCATCAACAAAAAACGATAAGAAGATAGAAGAAGTAGGTATTAAGGCATGTACCATCTTCGAAACAGCAAAGTAAATATAACCTAAATAGACAAAAACATAGTTGACCTTGCATTGTGCATCTCCTCAGCCAATACTGATTAACAGCTATGGCCTTGTATGACCATTTAGTCACGCACAGTTGCTCCTGGGATCAGGGTGGTGACCCGGATCCAGGTCGCAGCTACGACACAATCAGGGTAGGTGTCCACATGTTCCCACCATCAACACAGTCCTTTCGATTCCTTTGAGAAAAACCATGAAAAACCTATTCATCGGATACCAGATGCCAAAACCTATGCGTGAACACCTGGCAGAAACTGCGCACGCAGCCGACTTGCTGGCCGGCGACGTTTTCATGGCCTCCTCCGGTGCAGGGCAAAGATTGGGAAGATCATTGAAAGATTGGGAACAGTCTCTATCTAACATTACCCTCTGGCAAACTAACAGATATAACTATGGAAAATCATAAATGGCCATTTTCAATAGCTATGTTAGTCATTACCAGAGGGTTACAGGCCTGGACTTTACTGTGGCAATGATACAGGGATCATCAGGAATCATTGCCCAGTGGACAACTGCAAGGTGGGCCTATCTGGAACCTGGAAACCCTGGCTTAGTGTTGGATCTATTCATTGAGTCCCACATAGGGGGTATTTTAAAGATTTGGAGGATGTGATTATTATGATTTTCTATCAATGTATATATATAATATCTCTCTCTCTCTCTCTTCCTTCTTTGTGGTTCGACATGAAACTGGCAAAGGAGTTCATCCACAAAACAGATCAAAACAGATGATTTGATCAAGAACACGAGCCATTTTGTGGGCCCTTCGGTGTCAGATTCTAGCTTTCCGCGTCGATGACTGACCAGCCTAGCTTGCAAAATCGGCATGAAAAGATTACCTCCAAGCCCGGATTTTTTAAAAAAATCTGCAAGCAAAGCAGATGCATCTCTTGGGTTTTTTTCCAGCCAGGGGTTCAATCGTAGATTTCCCCTTCAATCCAGTGAAAAAAGCGAAAAAAAAATCTCCCAATTGCACCCACGGGCTAAATCTCCTGGATCATCTCATCAATGGCCTAGCGCTGTGGGAGTCTCCATTGAACTGTTTTTAGCCAGAAAAAACAACACCCAGTTCCCAATTTACCAATATAAAGTGGTGATTGAAACATACCCCTGCCCAAAAAAAATAGATTTGCCACTGCCTGCTGGTTCCATCTCTGCAATTTGGAATGGGAAGACCATCTTGGAGGAGACCCCATGAAGGCGGAGGTTGTTCGCCCCATGTTCCCAAGGTTGCTATCAAGGTGGGTACATACTGTCAGGAAAGTTTGTTGGTTTACAAACCCCATGAACTATCGACTATCGATATATATATATATATGATTATATATGTATATAATAGGCAGTTATATCCCCAAAAAATCCAACAGTTCACCAAGTCATGTGGATAACAACTCAGCTACATGGCTATATGGCTATATGGCTATATGTTAGATCTATGGGGAAACTATAGTTTTACATAAACATATACACAACTTGCTCGGCGATGTTGACCTGCCTTGCCATCGGCTTCCTCCACTGGGCCATTGAGGAAGCCACGCTTCAACCTCGGAGATGATGGGATATATTTATTACCCTCTGGTTATAACTAACAGTTTGCCACGGAAAGATCCACCATTTTTAAGAACGGTAAACTTCCCGGTAAACCATCTATTTCTATGGGCCATGGCTTCCATGGCTATGTTAAAAACCAGAGGGTAATATATATATATATATAGTTTAAATATAGGCCAACCCCGGATGAGACTAAACCATGGTTTATGAAAATTAGGGGGGTACTCCTCCAGTAGTCATTTCATCTAATACTTAAATGGTACCCTCCCAATTAAACAGCCGTTTGGGGTTTATTAATCCAGGGTTGATATTATAGGTCACGCATGGTCAAGCATGGTCATGTTGGGATGTTTTGCATCTCTGACCTTCAAAGCTTTTTCAAACCTACACAAAAAGTCCACAAAAATAAGTATGGATGTGGTAATTAAATGTAATTCATATTTATTCTATCTATCTATCCCACATTACCCCACTGTTCAATCTTCGAAGATTAAAGTAGATTAAAGAGATTTATTTATTTTAAAAAAAACATCAGTGGATTGGCAATTGAACTCACCCTTCCCACAGGGCCAGCTTTGGAATCAAGGCCTCCCTGCCCTCCAAAGCCCGAGGCTTTGGGCACTTGCACAGGAGGGGCCTTGCAGCGTCCCAGTCTAGACCGGTACCCTCTGGTTCTTTATGGCTATAGATCAGGCCCATTTACAGATGATAAAATGATGATTGTCCTATTATTCCAATGGTAAACCATGGTAAACATTGGTAAACCTTCCCCTCCCGACTTCTCAAAGGCCCACTTTTCCCCGCAGAAAGGTCAAGCTCAAGCAGCGCCAGAGATCTCTGGACGCCATGGGGCCCAAGTCGGAGGTGCCCTGCAGCACGGTGCTGCGCAAGGCATCGCGTTGCAGGGGCCTTTTTCGCAGTGTCAGGAAAGCGCTTTCGGCGGGGAAGGTGATTTGCCGTGCAAGGGCCTGGGCGAAACAAGGGGGAGATCATAGACTGTCAAGTTACCGTTGAAACTGTCATAGACTGAATAGGTCTTTCTTCTTGGACATATGGAAAATTATTCATGTTGATCCAGGCTTGATTATGTTTTCATCCATGATCGTCCCAATGGGTTCGGAGCAAATTTTGGAAGCCTGGCAGCCTGGTGGCTGTGGCTACCACAAGCACTTGGAAGCTGACAATGGTAAATGGCTAAGTGGCCATAATAGCACCTTCCCAAGTTTCTGGAGATGTTCAGAATAAACTGTTGATGCCCAGTCCCAGCTGCAAATTCCAAAGGATAGCAGCTGGCTGGCAGCAACGGCCGTAGCAAGAGTCTTGCAGAAACTTCGCGGCGCTGATTGATGTCAAATGCTTGGAACGATGGAATCCTTCCAATCTCCTAGACAGTCTCATGAGTCAAGTCATCAACTCTCTAAAATGTCAGATGACCATGTTCAGGGTGCATCCTAGACTAGTAAGTGGCTATTAGAAGATATATGAAGATATTATATGATATTATAAGAACCCCTGTGACCTGGGGCAAATCCCAGTGTTATTCGGTTATTTCATGTGGTTGCTACAGGTTGCTACCCACTTACTATATAACTAGGTCAAGCAGCATATCCAATATTGCAAATCCATGCCAATCATCCATTGACAGTTGGCTAAAAAATCTCGATCTTGCTGGGTTTTATCTCCATGTTGGCTTGTTTCACTCTCTATTTTTGCTGGTTTCAAGAATCATGTTGGTTGGTTTAAGTTTAATCCCCAGTTAATCCAGTGGGTTTACAAGGCCATCTTGGGGACGATTTCAGTCGTGTTTTAAGGGGAATTGCCAATGACTCGACCCATACGCGTCTCCACCGTCCTTTCGGATCTCCCCCACCGGCTGCGCCGTGGCCGCCGCCGACGTCAGCGCCAGCGCCGCGGCGTTGGCGCCGCGCTGCGGTAGCAGCCGTAGCGCCTGGCGCCAGCGGCGCAGGCGCACCAGGGAGCTGAGCACAGGCAGCAGGGCGCGGTCGCTGGGGACCTGTGCCGAAGTTCGCTGGAAATTTGGTGTTTTTCTTTACATCTTTTTACCATCAGCAGAGCCAAGGTAAACATGGATAAATTATAGAGAAGTTAAATAAGTCTCCTCTCTCTCCGCCATGTTGAAGAGTCTTGCCAAAGGCTAAAAGCGAGCCAAGGCACGGTGACACGATTACAGGAGTCAATAGTTGCTTTGCCTATGGCCTATTCTATCATTTCCAATTTGGTTTTCTCTAGAGGTTGGCAAGTGGGGACTCTATCCCAGCAGATCCAGTGATGTTTGGTAATCATCACCATTTATGTTCACATCCCGAAGAATAGCCTCAGTTTTGTGCTGTGAACTGCGGTGCAACACATCCCTATTGAAATGCTTCCTTTCGACACTGACCCAGGGCACCATGGGTGCTGATTCGTCGTTCAAAATGCCCTGGGGTTTTCTCCACCTGCATCAGCTCCATGGCCATCTCCCAGCGCTTGGCCGCCGCCAGCGCCCCCAGCAGCGCGTTGCGCACGCTGCCGTGGCCAGCGCTGCCAGCGGTGACGAAGAGCTGCAGGGCGGACGGCCAGGCGATGGCCACAGCGCAGGCCGTCAGGGCTGCGGAAATGGCCTGGGGTGCCCGGAGATGGCGAGGGTGGGCATAGGTTGGACCATAGGTTGGACCAAAAATCAAGGGGGTTGTTTCCCCAAAAAAATGGGAACTTTGACCACCAAAGATGATGAAACATGGTGATTTCAACAGAATGAGGATTCATAGTTGGCTTGTGATAGCATGTGATAGCTAAAGTCGGATTGGTTCACCAACATTTCACTAGGAAGATGCTGGAAAATGGCCATGGGATAATCATGATAGCAGGCAAAACATCTACAAATGGACAATTTCCCTGGCTATGTTAGACTACCAGAGGCTGGCAAGATGATAAGAACATGGCATCAACGGCAACTTTTCCATTTAAGGTTAGATGGTGTTAGATTTATCACTATTTCAGGATTGGAATTTGCATGATTTTGCTCGCTTCTCCCTTTTGATTCTTTTTGGGGATTGCTAGACGTTTAATGAGGGGTTTGAGAAGGGCTACCCAGCGATCTCTTTGATCAATGGCTGGATGTCCCAGTCACAGTGGGGGACGACGAATCGAGAAGCTGCAAAGCCTTGCGCCAGTTGCTTCTCTGCACCTTGGGACCCAGGGGTTTGGGACCCGTGGATTCTTGAATTCAAAGTGATCAATGAATTGGTGTAAGGGAAAAATGGTGGAAAAATGTTGCTTAATGTGTTTAACCATCAAACAGAAGGAATTAGCATGATTTAGCAATATAATGCAGGATTGGTTTCAGAGAAAATCTACAGGAAAACCCGGATTTTGACCATCAAGCATGAGGATTTCCTGTAGATGCTCCCTTCATCCAGTTCTGGGAATTGAAACACAACCCTGGCATCTGAAGGTAGGTCTTCCTAAGGGGGAAAAACACCTGGGAGATTTCCACAGTGGGGGAGAGGGCACTTTTCTGAGCACAGTGTCGTTTGAGTGCTAGTCTTGTGCAATAACCACACTCCATACAACACAGACCATAGACAAACATACCTGGTGCATATTAAAGTATATTGTAGCTCGCCCAGTTTCGATCACCAGTTCCATCATTTCGTTTGGTCGTCGGCTTAGCACTTCCTCCAGTTCTTCCCTGCCGAGATTCAAAGGATGATGTGAGGGAACTCAAGCTAAGTGCGTCGGGCACCAAACGTCTTGCAGAAAACCTGGTCACTGCAGGCACCACAACTTTCTCGTAGACAAAAGCTGGGTTGGTTGAAGGGAGAACCTACAGAAAAGCTTTACCAGTCACCCCATTTTTGTGACTTGAATCCCACTTCTTCTTGCTCTCAGGAAATCTCATGTTTTGCGTTAAGTTGTTTTTTCTAGCTCTTTCTATCCCTCGCCCCAAGCCCACCACCACCCTAGGCCAATTGCATATTGTTTGGACCCAGTTATGTGCGAGATATCCTAATCACTGTCATTATTCCATCCCCCAACCTAGGTAAATCCCGACATTTGTGGCTTCAATCCCCAAATTTTTGACTGGATGAGGCCCCCCAGTTGTAAGTTGGTTTGAAAACCCCATGAATACTGTAGTATAATATAATATAGTCATAATCTCCCATAAAACATAGTGTCCCAAGTTATGTGCTTCAAGGTAGCTGTCGTTTTGGGGCCTGACCGTGTAGGTCATGGGGCATTTGTAGTATATGTATATCTCTCTCTCTCTCTCCATCGCCATCTCAGGAGATCAGCAGTCAAGCTGAAGGCGAGCTAAAAAGGTGACGTGGCAGGTCAGCACACAAGCTCGTTAGCCAGGCGCGTCATATCACCAAGCCACCGCAAAGGTAAAGTACAAATTTCTGTTACTATACATAAGGGGTCAAAGGGATGAAAATGAATAGGTAAAGATCCTAGCAAATCGGGCAGCCTCTCAGCATGTGAATCTTGATGAAAAAGGAGCACCTTCAAGTGAAAAGTGCTGGGCCGAAGCCACCCTGTTGCCAGAAAAAGTTCCAGGATGTCGTGAATGGATTGAGTGCCCACTGGTGCCCGGTGGCAGCGCCAACCACAGCACCGATCCAATTCCAGTACACTGATAGCCGCCGAGTCAGTGATATCACAGACAATCAGCTGTTGACCATGGAACGTTCCTTGTAAGCAACGTCTTTCCCACAAGTATTTGGTGCTAGAGATAGCATAAACATTGGCCCCAAAGAGCTCGGCAACAGGCAAGCCTTGTGCAACCAGCCAGCCATGCTCCCTCTCTGCCCACTGCTGGCGGCAGGCTGCCGCACCAGCATCAAGCCCACAATGGTTGAGATACCGGATATGTATATATATATATATAGTTAATTACTCACATTTCCAATCATTTTCCATGATATCCCATTAAATATAAACACATTGTAGTTGGGAAAACGCCATAGTTAAGAGCACTATTTTCAGGTTCCAATCCTTTGCGCCTCAATATCGCCATCGCATCCCTACACCGTAAAAACCCTGTGAATTGCCCTAAAATCCCTATAAATTACCATAAAATTACACTCAAATGACTCAAATCCCATTAAATCCACCATTTTTTCTCCTTCTCCCCATCCCATCTCCATCTCCCACCTCTGCATCAGTTGCACGGCCACTCGCCAGCGCCCACCCTTCGCGCAGGCGCTCAACGCCACATTGAGGCAGACCACGTCCAGCCGCAGAGACTTCCTGCAGGCGGAGTCCAACAGCAGCAGGGCCACCGTCCAACGGGCCTGCCATGACAGTTCCGTGGGAAAATCCATGAAGTGACGTGGATGGGAACTACATGGAACTAAGATATTTCAAAGCACTTGCAGTCTTTGAGTTTCAGAATGGGTTAATTACTGTATTTGTTTATTCAATGTTATTCATTGTTTTTCGTTCTTCCTGTAGTTTCATGGGTTTTCGGGTTGCAAGTGCGCTTTCAAGACTTGACAGGATATTTCATGGTTCAACAGTTCATAACTGTTCGATCCCAGCCGTTTGCTAACTAAAGCCCTTTGGAGATCATCCACAAACAGTCCGGCGATGAGGAAAACGGAAGGCACCGCTTTCCGAAAGTGGTCACTGAGCATATGCTGTAACACCTTCCATGGATAAATCTCGAATACATCCATACCCTCTGGTAAACTAACATAACTATGGAAAATCACCATTTTTAATGGGTAAATCAACTAAAAGTGGCCATGTTCAATAGCTATGTTTGTTTACCAGAGGGTAAATCTCGAATATATACATACAGTATATCTTAATCCAAAGCAGGTTTCCTCTGCATGGCCCATCTTGAAACTTCAGTATGCCGGCAAAGTTATTCCATTCTGCTCATCACGATTTCCTATCTTATTTAGTACTCTAATTAGATTAATTGGATACTGCAGTGCTCTTAATTTATCCCATTGCTAAACAACCAGATTGACCACAACTCCAGCTGTGACCCCCCCATCCCACGTCACCGTCCGTTGTGCTCCGCTCATCGCCGCCGCCAGCGCCGTCGCGCCGCCCGTGGTCGCCGCGTAGAGCGCCAGGGCGCGGCGCCACTCGGAGGCGCGCGCGCAGGCGACGATGGCCAGACGGGGGTGGAGCCGAAGCACCTGCTGCCACCTGGGGATTCTGATGGGATTTCTCACCCAAAAAATCGTGGTTTGGTGGTGAAAATAAAGGGATATCATGGGATTTCAATGTGTTTTTTTGGGGGAACTATAAATTATAACTATACGTAACTTGATGTGATTTGGGATGGGGATGTGGGATGCTACTTGGGTGGATGTTTGCTGAAATAAATGGGTTTAATGAGATAACCATAGATAACCCCCGTTTGTAGATGATTTTCCCATTTAACCCTCATTGAAATTGGGAATTTCCAGCCATCTTTGATGAGTCAAAACTTGACCCGCCTGGAGTCACGAACTGCCAACGCCAGGCTCTGTCGACAAACACCTGCCACGTAGAAGAGTTCATGGCCTTGGTTTAATATCTACATAAATAGATATATATATATATATACATATAAGGTCTTGGCCCCAGCCCCTATTCGTGCCCAGGGGTAGGGTATCCGATCACCGTTGGCCATAACCTTAGCGGGGGGAACGTGCTGTCCCCGCGGGTCCTGTGTGCTGCGGACCTCTTTCGAGTCCCGGCTCGTTAATCCCGGGTTGTACTGAACTGCTGCGCGCTGGTACATTCACAGCCTTTGTGCCTTAGCTGGCGTTGACTTGCTCCGCGGCTGTGGTTGCATCGTGCTCTCCCAGGTTTTCCTGGTGACCACCTTCACTGCACTGGATCCTCTTCTTGGGTTTTACGGTGTATGTGTAAGGCAATTTTGCTCTACTTGTCCCTCATTTTGATTCTGAACAAGGAGATTCTGATTTCAGGTGAGGACAACGGCGACAAACACGCAGAGAAGGCACGAGAGACGGAAAAGAGCGAAAGCCCGTTTGGATTTTTGGTTACATCGTCGTGGTCTTTGTCATCAATCTTCTGCGGGTCTTCTACGCATTTACCGGACTCTCTCTTCACATCATTCGAAGGACATTGTTTTCCTTGGGAAGATCAAAGCAGCAATGTCCTCTTTCAAGAAGGAACCCTGGCGTTGCATTATTTGCAAAAGACTGGCCAAAGGGAATGCACAATTCTGTCCAGAATGTGGGAGACACTGGCAGGAATGCGTGGATTCATCTTTTGTCAGCGGCAATCCAGAACAACATCATGGAGCTCATCATGCCGGAGATGCCTACCACAATCAGTGGCATGGGAAGCAAAGTTATTCTCAGAGCCCACGTCGGCGCCAACACAAGGCGTCTGCTCAGCAGAGAGGCAGCACTCCGAGAGGGAAAGGCTACAAAGGGCAAGGACGCAAGGGAGGTTTGAAAGGGAAGGATGCTTCAAAAGGGA